ATGATAGCTTGGCTTTCAGTTAGACTCAATTTAGGGAAATTGAACCCCCCAAAAACTGAAGACAAAAAGTTGATCTCTAAATTCCAGTTTTACATCAAAATCTGTCTTTGGAAAAAATAACTAAAACACTCGTAATTGAGTTTATTGTTGATGTGGCTCACTATATCTAGAGCAATGATTAAATAAAATCTATTCATTTCTTCGGCTACAGTATATGGTATGGGCTATTTTACTATTAGATGCAGCTTGCTTTAAGAAAACTCTAGACTTTGCCGATGCCAACTGCGCACACAGGTGTGTAAAAATATTATATTTTATATGATACTAACAATCAGACAGCTTATTCCAGAATTTTTTGTTAATCAACCACCTGTGTCTGAGAACAAACTACAACACCACTGAAAACTAAACTATATACTGGGTGAGTATCAATAGGACAGTGAACATACAACTACAGTGGGAAAAATATCTGGTATATTTCATATGTACCAACATAAATTATAGAGTTATATAAGGTATCATAGTCAAGATTTCAACATTTACAGCAATGGTTATTTAGAATTAATGGGAAACAACTTCAGCATAATTTTAAGTAACAAAAGAAAAAGAGAAGCAAAATGGAAGAATAAATAAAGATTTTTTTAAATATCTTGAAATGCTTCAGAAAAATACAATAATTTCCATTTTCCTGAATCAGGGAAGCAATGCTATCACAACACATATTATCTCATCTCAACTAATCTTTTCTCAACTTGTTGATAGATCAATTTATTTTAAAATAAATTTCGGGGATGACTTGCCAGGATTCCTCTCAATCATTTTTATATACTAAGAATACAATGGTAGATTGGATCCCTGATCACAGATGAATCGTCTCTTACATCGTGTAAGCCAGAGGCATATTAAATTTCTCCTACATTTTATTTCATTTCCAGAGCTCCTGGAAAAAAAGGAAAACAAACCCTCGTGGACCAAAAGTCAGGACCTAGATGAACAGAGCAACACAAATGTAAACAAATTGAACTGAAACTGCTTTGAACACGTAGAAGAAGAAATAGAAGAAAGCATTCGATGTGAGAGGTTTAAGTGTCAGGACACAAGTTTGTGTCACAGTAGCGAAGAAATATTAAAACATTTACAACTGGCTTCAGGTTATGTTGTATAAACAAAAAATAACAGCAAATCGCCAAATTATGCCTATAAATAAACAAAAATATGACAGCAGTGTTCAACATATGAGCATAAATAAAAAATGACAGAAGAGTGTCGACATACAAGTTAAAAAAATTATAATGATAGAGAGTTGACAGAACTCTTTAAACATATTATGGAATAAACTTTGACTTACAAAACTGGCAATATTAAACAATAGTTTCAGTTAGCAAATAGACAAAACCATTTCTTTCAACTGTGACACATTTGAGAATACAAAAATAAAGAGAGTAAATGATTTTTTGGGGAATAGAATATTTTATCTGTTTATTGTTGACTAATAGATAGATATAGCATTTAAGTGCTTCTTGTTCAGTGAAATAGAATGTCAAGAGAATCAAAGCTGATGTATAAAACTTACATGAGGAAAAACATTACTTAAAAAACAATGGAAATTGTATGTGAAATTCCAACAAAAGTTGGAATATAAATATAGGATGTATTTTAATATATTTATTGTGTAGTGACTTGGAAAAAAAAAGTATAAAACAAATTAAAACATCAACAAAATGTTTTTTTTTCCATATTTTAAAAAAAAAAGAAGGTCTTAGCCCTGTACATTTAAATATTCTTTTTTAAAAAAGATAACAAAAAATGCTCCTATAACTCATATAGATTTAACTTGAATAATGTCCCTTTTTTGCCAGTTGTGTCTTAAGGTTAATCAAATATTTTTGAAAATGCTATTTTTAGACATTAGTGGGATTGGTCCAAAAAAAAAATATTCTGATTTTATTGAGTGGTGCTACTAGTCAGTTTAGAAAAAAAAAAATTATATTCTTAGCAAATGGGGTCGTTTACCCTTTTTAAAATAAAATTATTTGTTCCAGAATAGATTTTTTAAAAAAAAGGAATACAATTATAATGATAGAATTAAAAAATTATTGCACATAAATTATTTCATAAATCTAAAAATTGTATTTCTAAATCTCAATAAATGAAAATCTCTTACTTGAAAGTGTAAACAAAACAATATTTGCTTTCAAGTCGAAACATGTACAAAAAGCCAAACAATGAATGGAATGAGAAAAATATTCTCATTACATGCCTGACAATAACTTGGGATTATGTCTGTAAGCTGTAGTGGGATGAAAATAATCTCAAAAATTTTATTCTGAAAGATAAACCTTTCAGCTCAAAAGAAATTCTTCCACAACCATCGGTGACTATATGGCATGTACATAATTTTTAACAAATAAATGACACATAAAAATTTGACTTTAAAATAGTTGTGAAAGCATGACAGGTAAAAAAATTCCCTGTTCAAAAAAATTCAATGCAACAGAAAAAAAGGGAAGCAGATATAGTAGCATGTTTCTTAATGTAAGACAACATTCTAGTTTAAATAAGTAGGTCATAATTGCGTACATAAAAATTGTGTCCTATCAAAACTCTTAAAATGAGAGTAAAAAAATAACAAGGAAGACACAAATTTCATAAATAAAGGAATGTTGAATTTTGATAACAAAAGTTACACAAAGCAGAGTTATAGTTAAAAACTTGGTAAATAAACTTAATAAACTGAACCCATTGGATTACAATAAAGAAAACATATAAAATATGTGTTTACACATATTTTAAATAAAACTGTTTACTTAATATAAATGAAATAAAAAGAGCAGGCCAACTAGGCACTGTGTTTCAAAAGAAACGTTGGCCCTTAGGGTCATTTTTGAACCATTGAGTTTAATGGATGTGGATTCAGATTCAAAGACAGTTGTCTTTTAGAAGGGGAAAATGCTTTCATTCCAATGCAGTTAAAATAGTGGACACTGTTTTAACCAATTAACATGTGTAAAGCATGCTATTATATTCTTTTAAATAAATGCCATAAGTGTTAGTGGAATTAAATCAAATAGAATCCTGTAGTTTGGGTGGTTAAATTTACCATAAGGTAAGAAGGAATAGTGTCTAGTTTTATCATGCTGTTAAATTTACAATGTGGTTAGATTCTATTTATGCAGCATTTTCCTCTTCAATAATTTAATATTGATTTGCATTATCTTCACAGAAATTGCAGTCTAACTTTACTTGTATAGGTTTACAGCAAAGCCGTTTTATACAGCAGCTTAAACTCTACTGGCATGATGAAACAACATTTGTATCTCAATGAAATAGATTGATCCTGGTTGTGCAAAAGCAGATTTTAAAAGAATGTTTTCAAAATAAATGTATGTGGTACAATAAAATCAACAATACAATTTTTCAGAACATTAAGCCAATTGAGCTCAGCATTCAGAAAGGACAAGTGAGCAAAATTATGTCTTTCCACAATAATACATTGAAATATATTTTAATAGGGGGAACCACAAAAACACTTGTATTAAAGGGATTTTTAAATATTCAAAACAAATAGGTCAGTTTCACCTTATCCCACCCATAAAATCACTTTCTAGCTTATCAAATTACTCTACACTAAATTCATAAAGAAAGAAAAGTTGAAATTTTTTAATTTCAAAACTATGTTTTACCGGGTGGTTTCAGTTGGTGAATCTAGCGAGGAAAAAACAAGATGTGTAGATTTTACAGGGTCATCAATATGTCATGTGCGCTTGATATCAAATAACAACAGCTACACTTATGAACAATTAGTTTGAAATACTATATATTCAATAAGTAGATTCTCCAACAGGAATAAAACAACCAATTCATAACTGTTTGCAACATGAGCATTTTAAAAAAGGGAGGGGAGAGGACTCTGACCAACTACTACAAATGCCACAAGATTTTGTACAGGTCATCAAACTATATGCCACCATTTTAAAAGGTAACAAAATGATTGGCAAGATCACAAATAATCTCACATTAGATCTATGAAACCATTTGTCCCAAGTTATTTAATAGATAATAAAACTTTAAGTCACAAGTCACTTGATATGTATAGAACATATGTCACTAGCTATATGTTAAGTAATAAAATTAATTTTTTTTAAACTTATATTATTTTTGAAGAAAAAATGTGTAACAACTTCAGTTAGATAATAATAATAATAATATAGTTCATTTCAAAACTCAGAATCAATTCCATTGAAAAATAATTTTATGAAAAAAAAAAAACAACTTGAGATATTTTATGTCAATTACTTCTATGAGAATCCAATGGGAGAAATCCATGTACATAAAAGTTATGAGAAACCAACTTGAGAGAATTGAATGAAAAATATTTCTATGAGAAATCCAACCATGTGAGAAATTAGTGTAAAACTTTACAATTGGTAATTTGGCAAAAGTAATGGAGCTATTCATAGAAAAAAAATCAGACATTTTCCAACAATTTGAAATTTGCCCAAGACTCCAGTTAGATTGTGACACAAAATAAAAACCAAGATGCATCACTCAGCAACAAGGTCATTGTAAAATATCATGTTCATTATTTTAGTATGGGTATAAAATTAAGTTAACATTGAATCAAGTCATTGGATTCAACAAACATTTCAAATAAGTTTACACAAATAACCTAAAGTAAAGCCAATAAAATGGAAATATGAACACATTTTTATGAAATCATTGAACATGAACCCCTTTGATTGCTACACATCTCTACATATACCATTAATGTGTTTCAGCTAAAGTCTACCCTGTGTTCGCTCATAGCATTAACGCATTTCAAAGCGTCAGTGTATATACACTAAACAAACTAATAACCAATAATTACTGACAAACTGCAACTATGTTAAGTTTAACCCCACATTTTATAGTTGTTTAAAAACTCAACAAAAATTCAAAGGGTACATCAAATAAATTCTTTGGTACTAAAAAAGAAAAAAATTTCTGTATAGCTACAAACACTCATTTGCTATGTACAAACTGTAGATTAAATGGGAAGAAGGGTGATTTCTATAACTGCCAGCTCTACCCAGTATCAAATAGTTTTGATACTTGCGAGCCGTGTTAAATTGTGAAAATGGAAGCAATGAGCCGACAGTGAACAAAGATACCAAAAACAACCCCAAAACAAAACAGCAAAAAATGCTTGAACAACCCTTGACTCAGTTGTGTGTCTTTGATCCAGACTCAATCTTCACATTGTGTGTCTTTGATCCTGACTCAATCTTCACATTGTGTGTCTTTGATCCTGACTCAATCTTCACATTGTGTGTCTTTGATCCAGACTCAATTTATTCATTGTGTGTCTTTGATCCAGCTCAATCTATTCATTGTGTGTCTTTGATCTACAGAAATGGTCCAGAGCTTTTTTGAAAGATTATTTTCCTTATTGAAAAAAGTATATCTAAAATGACACTTTTGATCTCTTCATTCTGTCAACAGCATTGTGAGTGTGTTTGTTGATATTGAAGTAGTTCCTGTTCTTGGTTCTAAATCCATGTCATGACTTTCAACTTTGAAACTTTCAACTTTCCCTCCTGGTTTATCCCCTTGTGTCCCTTGCAGAAAGATATTTCCAAAAAATGATTTAGCGTAAAACTGGCAGGTTCTCAAACTCGTAGCCAGGGCGACCCAACGCAGCACAGTAAATGTACACAAAATGGTAACCTGTCCAGCAGGAATAAAAACAAATAAGTGAGGGGAAACAAACAATAAAAGGGCAAGAATTTTTATCGACCAGTTTATAAAAACTCATTGTAACAATGTCACTAACACTACCAGATGGCTCTGATTTCACTAAATAAAATTCCTGATAACTACGCTAAATGAGATTCTTAAAAATACCACAAGTGTATTTGATGCATAATATTTTCTTTTTTTTAATGGAAATAATCTCAATTTAAATATGGTGTTAAAAATATGCTGTATAAAAGTTGGAGGGACATTTGAATATGAATATAGTTTCGCAGCGTGAAAAGTGTTGTTGCGAAGAAAAAAAGGGAAGGGGGGGGGGAGGTGCACACAATTTTGGATTCTTATAAAATGTGTTACTTGCATGTTTTGTCAAGTAAAGTTAGTAGATGGGAAGTTCACGCAGCATTGCTGTTTGGTGGGCTCAAGCTAGTGTCATTCATAAAAATATTGTTCTTTAAGTATTACTCTTAAGACAAGTGACCCACCATAGTCTTTTAATGCAAAAGTCCATTAACATGAGTTACTTGGGACTAATTGGATTCACCAGGTCAGAGAACTCTTCAACACTAAAGAACAACATTCTCCCCAAAACATGATAGATGTTAAGGCATGGAATAAATGCTTAACAAGTGAATGCTACAATCCAAATAAAATGTTACTTCTAAAATGTATTTAGAACTATTTTGTGAAAAATATTTTAGGTAAACTACATATTTATCTGTGATTCCTAGACAATGGTCAGTCATTTCAGCAGTTCGAATATCATTTTTAATATAAGATTTAAGAAAATGCATCTTTTAAAAACTTCTAATAAAAAAATGTTCATTATAAACAAAGTAATCAGAGATCCTTGATAATGTATTTTATTCCCAAGTTAATGGGTAACAAGCTCTGCAGCAAAGAGTAAAATTGAAACCACTTACCTCCAGGTATAACACACAGCAAACCAATTACTCCAAATATCAAACAGTGGTAGCCTATAATGAAGGGGAAAATGGATCAACAAATCTAGATAAATATTTTGTTCCACATTTTATTTACTTTACATGCTTGATCGTGAGTCCCTCAATATTATAAACAACTTAAAACAATTGCAAATCAAGATCGGACATAATTAATGCAGACAGAGCAAAACAATTATGCAAGTATTCATCCTATTGTAAAGCTAACACTTTCTGAAAGAACAGAATAAGCTCAAATGAATATGTTTCTATAAGTACGTTTAATTTGAACCCAAATTATAATATGTTTCTATAAGTATGTTTAATTTGAACCCAAATTATAATATGTTGCTATAAGTACTTTTAATTTGAACCCAAATTATAATATGTTGCTATAAGTACTTTTAATTTGACCCAAATTATAATATGTTGCTATAAGTACTTTTAATTTGAACCCAAATTATAATATGTTGCTATAAGCACTTTTAATTTGAACCCAAATTATAATATGTTGCTATAAGTACTTTTAATTTGAACCCAAATTATAATTTATTTCTATAAGTACTTTTAATTTGAACCCAAATTATAATATGTTGCTATAAGTACTTTTAATTTGAACCCAAATTATAATTATGTTGCTATAAGTACTTTTAATTTGAACTCAAATTATAATATGTTGCTATAAGTACTTTCAATTTGAACCCAAATTATAATATGTTGCTTTAAGTACTTTCAATTTGAACCCAAATTATAATTATGTTGCTATAAGTACTTTTAATTTGAACCCAAATTATAATATGTTGCTATAAGTACTTTCAATTTGAACCCAAATTATAATTATGTTGCTATAAGTACTTTTAATTTGAACCCAAATTATAATATGTCGCTATAAGTACTTTTAATTTGAACCCAAATTATAAATGAAATGTTAATTAAGATGATCAATAAAATGTAAAAAATTTGGAGTTAAAATTCTGCTAGGGATTTAGCAATTATTAAAAAAATTTTGATCTAAATTATGAATTTTTGTTAAGCTCATAGAAGAACTACTTACCTATTGCAGGCGTCAGTGCCAACCCAATCCCAGTGAGTATTAAAACTGAAAAGAACACAAATTGTTGAAAATTAAAAGGAGTTTTAAGAATGACACAAATGTACAGATCTGACTCTCCTGCTATTTAAAGGAAGGATACAACATCAACATCATTAAAGAACTCATCCAGTTGCTAACTTACCAAGACCAAGTAAGGTCAGAAATGCAGATGCCCCAACAGTTTTCCAGTTCTCTCTCACCTTGGGGTGTTTTATCCAGCTAAGTAAATAAAAACTTTGATTTCAACAACATTTAAGAAATTAAGAGCTCAAAGTTAAAAAATGTGTTCTATACACATACCCCACCCTGTCACAATGTATTTTAAAAAAAATACAAAGCTACACATCATTTACAATCCTTAAAATTATAAAAAAATGTAAAAACCTTTTAGTGAAATGCCAGGCGGCTTAAGATAAAAATCAATCTTAGCATCCAGTTACCTTTCATGCTGGTTGAATGAGGTGTCAGAATAACCACTCTGATGCTCACTGGAATGTGCACTGAGCAATGAATGGAGTGATGTCGGCCTTGTGGCTGTCTTTTTATCCACACTGAAATCAGAGCGTATTATTTAAAGAAGCTGCAGTAAAAAATAATTAAAACTGTGTTGACACGAGGCATACACTAGTTAGTGTTTTAAATTTCTGACAATGTATTCAGAGCAATCGCTATAAATTACTACTTAATGTTTCTGATGCAGGAACGGCAGCTATAACAGTGGTTTATTTAAATGTGATGTTCCACTGAAACACTGACAACATTATCCTGAAATTATATTATTCACATCATTATCTCAATGTATCAACCATCATCTGTGTGCTTAGCATTATCTCCATGTATCCACAATTACACATTTTAATAAAATAAAAATTTTGTACAGTTATCACTTCATATTAACGTTCTTTTTCAATTATTTTTTTAAGGCCGATTCCACAATTATTGTGGTGTAATGTTATTATTTGATTTTGATTTCCATATTTTTAGTCAGTGACTGGGACCCAAAGGGTTATAATGAATAAACTAATTTACTCTTACTTATCATACTGACCTTACAACAGTTGGGCTCATATGTTCAGCTATTAATGGCTCTTTCAAATGGGCTCCCTGGAATAATAATGAAAAAAAAAATTGTAGAAAAAAAATTATTTTCTTTTACTTAGTGTGACAAACAGTTTATAAAGAAACAAGTCTATCGATTGCTTTCATAAAGTATTACATAAAGGTACATTCACTGGACCTATTCATTTTGTATGTTATTAAAACTTGTTTTAACAAAACAGAATAATGTTATTGTATTAGCTTGAAATTCACCATGTCAAAACAAAACGCATTCACATAGTGGCTTGTTTTTATGTTTTGAAGAGCTCTACATTCTTAGTACCCTGGTTCCACCTGCCTGCATATCACTACAGGCTTAGGAAAAAAATGGGTGTAGGGGCAAGTCCAATGAGGGCAGCATTCTCTGTCCACTGGATATACTAATAATGGTTTCATTTTGATGATAATGGCCCTCTCTTTTTTTTTTTAATGTTTCTTTTTAGAGAGGGCAGCAAAATCAAGGAATGCCTTCTGAAATCACCAACTCTATATCTAATACTGCTTATCACTCAGTATCAATCCTATTATTTTTTATAATCATTTAATTATTTTAGGAATTTATTCCATATTCTAGCTGGCCTATAAGTCTCAGGGAAGTCATGTGTAAGTCTTAGAATAGACTTAGACGAGAGACCCTAGAGAAAGAATTAGTAGACGGAATTAGCCACTCTGGGTCCGACTCTGCATATATATTATATGAGGCCCATATATTTATTAAATCTATACCTATTGACAGAAACCACCATGTCTAGTATAGTCCATTATGTCATAAGGGACTAAAATGTATGTCTATGTCTTATCATATTCCACCAGCTTTCTTTAGGGGTTGGCCCCTTGAGGTTTTCCCATGCTGCTCTGCCACACTTTCCATTATCCCAATCAGCTAACCACTGCTTTTTGAAGTGATCTTTTAGGATGGCTTTTGCCCCTTCCCAAGACACCTTTTTGTAAGGTATTGAATCAGCTAGGCCAAGCTTTGCTAGCTCATCTACACGTTTGTGCTGATTTATCTTAATGTGACTTTGTAACCAGGTTATGGTGACATCGATATTGTGTATGGTTTTTAACTTATGAGTTAGACTATACATTTGGGCAATTTTGACTTTATTGGTTTGGTTTTTTATGTCTTTTACTAGACCTTGGCAGTCTGTAAATATCAAGATTGACTGCATCTTGTTCGTATCTAGGTAGCTTATGAGAGTCTCTCAGCCGGTTTTCATGGCTTTAGTTTGGGCCTCCTGGGTGGTGTAATGCATCCTGCAGGGACCAAATGATTCAATAGTGGACCCATCCGGCATGATTATTAGCATTCCGTAACCGGCTCTTTCTTCATTTTTTGCCCTGTCAATGAAGATTTGTACACTAATTTTTCTTCTCTGTTAGTATATTGTTTATGTCACTGCTTTTTGTCGGAGCCGATTGCCAGACTTTAGGGATGATTATAGAATCAGGCCTAAGTTTTGTGACTGACTTTATTTTGCCTCTTTTGCTGGGCAATTGGACCTTTTGCTTGAGGTTGTTGCATAGACTTATAAAGGATTCTTTCGGGATCCTTTGTTTTGGTGGGAAGTGTATCATTTCATTCAGTGGGCGGTTAGTTCCATTCTTAGGAAACATTCATAAGCTGTCAGCATTGCTCTGTCCCTCCTTATTTTTAGAGGTTCTAGATTTGACAATATCTGACCAGCTGAGATGGGTGAACTCACAAATGAGCCTTGTGCCACAAATGAGCCTTGTGCCACAAATGAGCCTTGTGCCACAAATGAGCCTTGTGCCACAAATGAGCCTTGTGCCACAAATGAGCCTTGTGCCACAAATGAGCCTTGTGCCACAAATGAGCCTTGTGCCATGTGCCTTGTGCCATGAGTCTTGTGCCACAAATGAGCCTTGTGCCATGGTTTTAGACTAGTTCTACTTTATTTAGTGCCATTTCGCTTGCAATGCCTATGATGGGCATGTTGTTATCAAGGACTGACCTGACCGCACCTATGAACAGACCTTTGAGGGTGCTTGCAGAAGCTCCCCATTCGGTGCCGGCCAGCCTTTTTACCATGCTTAGAGATTTGAGTTGGCTTTATTTGTAATCTCCTCTGTGGAGATTTAATTTTGGGTTGATAGTGCAACCCAAATATTTGGCATTTTCTGTTTTTTGTAGGGGACGCTCTCCAAAGAAAATTTGGGATGGAATCCTTTTAGCGTCTCTACCCAGAGTGAATAATGTGTAGGTAGATTTGGATACATTGAGTTCCAATTGCCAGATTTTTGTGTAGCACTTTATTTTACTTATATCAGCATGTAAGAGTCCAGCAAGCTCTTCAACATCCTTACCAGTTCGCCACAACGGGATGTCGTCCACGAATAGTGCAACTTCTGATTGCACTATTTCTGGTAGGTCATTGATGTAGATCAAAACTAAAAGGCAGCTCAGAGCTGAGCCTTGTGGAACCCCTTCAGCTAGCTTTTCTTTATTGGAGGTCTGTAGCTCAAATTTGGTGCAAATGGTTCTTTCTTTTAGGAAATCGCTGACCCAAAGGTACAGCTTCCCTGTTATGCCCATCTTTATCATCTTTAGTTTGAGGCCTGACTTCCAGACTTTGTCGTAGGCCTCAGTCAGGTCCAGGAATATTTCGATAGTGTTATCTTTGTTCTGAAAACCGTTTGTTTACCTTGGGAAAATCTCATAATTTGGTCCGCGGCTTGTCTATTCTTCCTGAATCCACATTGGTTTGGGTTTATTAATTTTTATTTTTCCATGAACCAGTAGAATCTCCTGTTAACCATCCGTTCAGCTATCTTCCCTGTGCATGATGTTAAGGACACTGGGCGATAACTGCTGAGTTCTTCAGGAGGTTTACCTTTCTTCCGGAGGGCCGTGATTTTGGCGTCTCTCCACTGGTCTGAAATTTTTCCTTTGTCCCAGGATTCATTAATTATTTGGAAGAGGACTTTTTTGGCTTTTGGACCTAGCCTGTTTAGCATGTTATTAGTGACTCAGTCCGGAGCACCAGCTGTGTCATCTTTACATTTTTGACAGGCTATTACAAATTCACTATGTGTGAACGGGAATGACATAATTGATGTTTTGTCAATTACAATTGATTTTTTTGAGACTTATCCGTTCCCTGTCTTTTCTTTTGCCATCTCGTGACCAGCGTTTGTTTTTGTTTGTTTGTCTCAGCAAAGTGACTGTTAAGAGCTTTATTTCTATTACTGTCGGACGTGACTATTCTATTATTTGTAGGACTATAGGACTTGGGCTACATCTTACTCTTTCTCCTGTTAGGGCTTTTAACAGGTTCCAAACTTTCGCATAGTCCTTCTTTAGGTCCAGGTTCTGGCACCTTTTAACCCAAGCCTCTTTCTTTAGGCTTATGGTTAGCTTTTTCACCTTCCTGGTTAGCTTGTTGTATCTTGTCCGAGCATTCACTGACTTTTGGGCCCGTTTTCTTGCCTGTTGGCGCTGTTTTATTAGTTTACTGAGTTTAATGTTTTTGAAGGACCCTTTTTTTGTATTTTGCATTCTCTGCAGGGATTGATCTCTTTGCCGCTCTAAAAACAACCTCACACCATTTTTTTTGTATTTCTCACTGATTGTGCCTGATTTTATCGCATTGAGTATGTTCCTGCCATTGGTCATGTTTGTAAACTTAAGCCAGTTAGCACTTTTATACTTTCAGGTGGCAGGTTGGGGGTCTACTTGGTTTGCCCCACCTTTGCCTATTGTTGGGAGGATTGATAAATGGTCACTGCCTATATCTGGAAGTATTTTTAGCATGCTTTTCTCCAGGAGGTCACTAGAGATTATAGTTAAATCCGGCCTTGATGTACTTCCATTACTTGAATGGATGCACGCGGGTGGTGTTAGATTATACTGCATAATCTTTAGGTTGGACGAGTTACACAGGTCAATGATCTTTTTGCCTGTAGCGTTTGATCGCTTATAGCCCCATTGGGGGGACTGGCCATTTAAATCTCCTCCAATAATAGTCCGAACAAATCTTGTCTGGTTTGTATCGAGGTCTATGGTTGTCATTGGAGGAGAGTAAATATTTATTATGGAGTAGGAGACTCCATTCTTCCAAATCTGCAGATGTATCGCAACTGTATTGGGCTTCTTCCAATTTATGTCCACCCTCCTGACAGTAGGGGTCTCTTAAACTAGTATGAATAGCCCATGGAACTTGACACATGTGCATGCTTGTGTGACATATTTTTCGATGTGGATACTCTTTTTCTTGAGGCGCGCCTCTTGAAACATGGCCACATCCACATTCTCTGCCTTTAGCAACTCTGCACCCTCACTTTCTTTCGGCCACATGCCATTTGCATTCAGTTGCAAGCTGATTAGGCTGCCTACGTCAGCTTTATCCCTTGTTAATACAGCGACGTCATTGTCTGACGAATCGCTTATTTGGTTCTTTTTCCGTTTTAGGTAGCGTGCTACCTCTTGCCATCTTCTCTCATTCCATTCTTCCTCTGTTTCTGCTGTTTGTAGCAGATGATCGAGTTTGCGATGTTTTTTCTCATCTCCGCTAATTTCGATCTTTTTGGTCCATTTCCTCTTCTTACCCTTCCCTGGGATGGAGGTGGTGTTGTCCATTCCCAAATCTAATCACAACTTAATCTGAAAATATAGTACAGAAGTATTTCAGTCACAGATGCTGATGTTGAACAATGCTGTGTACCGCATTTACTCTTTCTCAAATGACTGTTGGCACCAGAGTCACGGCTACTAGTGCTGGACGATACGGTGCGCCGCATTAGTTCAATTAGCTAAAATGGCTGCTGGCACCAGAGACACGGTTACTGGCACTGGACTATGCGGTGAGCTGCATTTGTTCAGTTTGTTAAAATGTTTATTGGCACCAGATTCAGGCTACTGTAATGGACGATGCATTAGGCCTCGTAAGCTCAACCTGTTGAAAAGGCTGCTGAAGATATTATTGATTCAAAGAAATAGAAATTAGTTTTGATTGCATTGCACATTGTCTTCAGTCTTGAAAGTCTGTGACTTTTTATGTTACCTACAATTAGTCTGTATTAAATGCTTCGGTAAATTATTGTGTAGTCAGAATTAGAGCCGGCCTTAGCAAATTTTCCACCCCAGGCAGTTAAAACATTTGACACCCTTTCCTCCTATAAACTTTCATGTTGAAATTAATTAAGCTGAGTTTGACTAAATTGACCATAGAAAACTACTGGGAATAATATAATAATATGGTCATCTATGTATATTTTATTGACTTACAGTATAGTGTATAGCTTTCATACTTTTTTTATTCACATCAGTTGAAAGTAACATGAATAATTATAATGTAATTTTTCACTTTCAAAAGTAAATTGAAAATCTTAAAATTATTAATAAAAAAAAATTAATTGCAATTAAATTATTTTACTGTATATTTATGCAATCCGCACCACTCTATGATTCTGCACTACTTTTTCCCATGGCTGCCACATTTGTTGCCATATGGCAAGTTGCAACAAAGGTGGCCGCTGAGTAAAAAAAAAACAACAGTAGTGCAAAAATATGTCTGCTAAAATGGGAGGGGAAGGGAGATAATGTGTTGTTTTAACTACTTACCAGGGAAACACAAATTAGGGAAAAAAAACTAAAATTTAATGAAATAATTTTCAGAGAAAAACTTTGATCCTAAAATCTACAGCTCTACCTAACCTGAATGCTAAGTCTGTATTCCTAACTCAAGCATAAATTCCCCCCTAAATTTAGTCCCCACTAACTAGAGTGACTTGAGCATAAACTTTCAAACCTATAACTATAATCTTGGGCCTAATGTGAACCCTAAAACCTAGGGCCAAATGTGAACCCTAAAACCATGTATTTGTGTCCTAAAGCCTAAAGTTACACACTGACACTGTACTGTAGGCCTACTTAGAAAATTACAAATTTAAATAAAATTATCAATTACTTTTTAAATATTCAAAATAATGAAAACCTTAATTAATTACAGCTTCATTGAATACACTTTTACACACTTCATTGCAGGTTCCACCAAAAATAAAATCCAAAAGATGAAAGTAAAATCAAAATTATTTTCCAAAATGCAGGCAAAATAGTCTCGATACCATAGTATAGCCTTGTTTTTTTAAAGTATAATTATATTTTTATAATTAACCACTTTAAACCACCCAATGAATATTAATTTTAAAAAAACTTCAATCAAAAACATTAGATAGGCATATCATGGTGTTTGAATATTAAAAACAGAAAAACTAACTCTCCATGAATAAACAAAGGGGGGGGGGGGAAATCCTACACAGAAACTCAAAGTGGTGCGGATCCCATAAATAAAAATAAAAATAACTAAATTTTTATTTACTTTATAAGAATGAAATTTATTAAAAACAGAAAAACCAACTCCCCATGAAAGAACAAAGGGGGGGGGGGGAAATCCTACACAGAAACTCAAAGTGGTGCGGATTCCATAAATATAAATAAAACTAACTGATTTTTTATTTACTTTATAAGAATGAAATTATGCATTCAATTCAAATTTAAAGTCAATTACCATCAAATCATGATTGCCATCTGCATCATGTAAATTTATATGACACATTAGTCTTATAAATATACATAATAAGTTTTAGACAAATAGACCTATGTGACACTAGTAACAATTCCAAAAATAGTCCCCTCACGCTACTCCCTCCCTCGCCCCGGGAAATGGTTTAAATGCCATGTTGCCGTTTACGATTTTGGATTTGGACTCACAGAACTCAACGGACGCATGCCTACTTTGAAATCATGCAGCTGAATATCTATCTCTTCACTGTCCCGGATCTTAGTATTAGGTGAAGAATTTGCGCCAGTTGATCCGTATGCACGATAGTAATCGTCACCTGGGGCCCCGACAGAGTTAACCCAGAAATCTGAATCCATTTCTGATGTGAATAGCTGGGAACACAGAGGACATCTTTTTCTTGACAACCATCCAAACTAATGAGTGGTTCGCTCACAGCCTTAGAAATATATTTTTATACCTAATAAAAGTATAAAAAGAATATGAAATATGTGTTTAAAAATTATGAAATACAAATATTATCAATTGGATTTTTTGTTGAAAAAAGATTTTTAAAAAACAAACTAGTTAAATATAATGCTAAATGTTGTAAGCGCTTGTGCAAAAGTATACGTACGTATATTGTACAGGGTATTCGAAAAGTTACCGTGAAATCAGCCTATCTTGACAATATGTTAATATATGTCTGTAAATTATATGTTCTGCTTAAAAAAAAAAGTTGGTGAGTCGAAGTCTGGAGTCACTGGAGAGGAAAAAGGAGGGGGCAAATCTAGCATAGGCGTCGCATCACGTTTGAGGGCACCCCTACCACTTTTCGGTTTTGTGCTCCCCTGCATTCAAAGCCGATGGTTTAAACTTTGGGCCCATTAAATATCTGGCGCCCCCTTCAGTCGAATGGGTGGCAGAAACTATACGGTGACTCTGATTAGTTAGTGACATCTAAATGTATTAATAAATATGATATATTCTCTTTAGTTTGAGCTTGAACTCTTGTTAACTTGGCTAGTACAATACTAGAGGTGTTCCTGTAGTTGTTCAGGACAAAGCGTGCAGCTCCTCTGAGTGAATGGGTCTCAGAATGAAGAAGCGTAATCTAAAAGTGGCCGGACAGAGGCTTTATGTGCTTTTTCTTTCACACTAGAGTTTCAGATCTTTAGATTTCACCTTAAGAACCCCAGGTTCTTGTTTGCCTGGTTGCAAAGATTGTTATTATTATAATCGTCCCATCGGACCTCTCTTTGACTTACAGTACAGATAATGTGCTGTGCTGCGAATGGTATATATTGGGAAGCATCCACTGTGGGGGGAACTTTTAGGGGGGAACATCCTTTTAGCTCGACTCCATTATGTGATTTTCGTGAGTGAACGACATAGTCAAGGGCCGTCCCTGGTTTCACAAATTTTAGCTACTTAACCGTGTACTGCATCTTTCTCATGGTAGGCACACAACACATGGGCAAATCTTTTTTATTTTATTTTAAAAAGATGGATGTTCCATCGTGTGTGCAATTGTAATATTTTACGAAGACTTAATCTTAACGTCTCCCACATTGTGTAATGCATGGTTTGATGGTTAATTTATCTGCTTTTTTTTTATTCCTCCTTTCACAACCTTTTTCAACTTTAATTTTGATTTCTTAAAAATTAATTTTGAAATGCATGCCACACAGGGCCTTTTTAATTTTAAGGTATTTAACAGAGATTTGCCTCCCTAGTGAAGAATTGAAAAATTTCGCCCTCCCCATTTTTCTCTCCTAATTTGATTTCCACCTTCCCGCAGTTTAATTTAAATTTTATTGTTCTAGATTTAGAGTTGGAGATAAGGGGAAAGACGTTTTCGTTAAATGGCCTCATGGGGCGTAAATACACCACGGTCATAAATCAATCTCAAGGGCCGTAAGTACAAAGGCATTGTGTACGGAGTAATTATCTTTTTTTTTTTCGTTGGTAATTATTTGTTGTTTGGTAAGCCATACCTAGTTTTATTATTAAAAAAAAAATACACACACATCAAAAATGCTGATAATTTGTTGCATTCACCCACTTTGGGCTTACCAAAGATTGTATTGTAACTTTCGTATATAATATTAATTAAGACGATCTATAATAATTTACCTAATTAAGTTATTTTAGTTGTACTGTATGATAGTATTAGTCATTAGTATTAGTATGATACTGATACTGTATATGATCTAGTGTATGGTCTACAAGTATAAGGCGTATATGGGGCTTTCGTAGTTATACGCCAGATCAGACTGATTAAGATTAGGTCATTAATCATTAGACATTAGTAGACTCATTAGTCAGAGTCTGTGAGACTGAGACTCTTAGAATTTAGCATTACTTAACTACTAAGTAAGACTAAGAAAATCATTGCTATTATTATTACCATGTATGACATTAGTCTTAGTCTTGAGTTTAGGCTTAGTCAATTATTAGTCTCATTCAATACTAGACTAAACCAAATAGTAAATTAAATAGAGAGTAAGAGTAGCACCACTAGCATAGATAATTCATAAGTTATTACTAATATTAATATTATTTATAACATTCAGTTATATTTCATTTTAATTTTACATGTAGCATAATTTTCATGCCATTTAAAAAAAATTTAAAATGAATATAGTCATGGTTTAGGATGAGGATGGTTTTATTATAAGTTATCTTAGTTTATAATTATAAATTATAAGGTTAGAGAAAGTGTGCAGTGATGAAAATCAAAGGGCTCATTTCGAGCATCTTTCGCTTTCTTAAATTTTACCCAGTCCTGCATGCCTGGATATTGATTCTTATTGATTTGAAAGGGATGGTTTATTCTATAGCTATATTAAATGATGCAGGTGTTGCTCATCGAAATGATATAGAATGATTATCAATAATATGATGTCCCATAGGGGTGTGCCGGACCCCGGTCCGGAATCCGGTTCCGCCGGATTTTGCACTATCCGGTGAAATCCGGTTCCGCCGGATTTACATGTATCCGGAACAACCGGATTCCGGAATCCGGAATATACCGGATTTCGGAATTTGCCAGATTTTGTGACTCACCGGATCATAATCTGAAATAAAAGTAATTCTCTTTCCCGAATTCCACACGATCACGATACATTAATCGATTGTTTCGAGCGTTGAGCTTGTTTAATGTTTAATATTCCGTACATACCAGAGGCTAGAGTCAGCACCGCTAATAGTGGCCAATAGTGTAGGGACTTTGATAAGAAAATTTAAACTTTTTGTAAAAATAAACCAATGGCATAGTTGAAAAGATGTAATTTTTTAAAGAATTATAACACCAAAATCATATTTTTAGCTGTTGTAGTTTTAAAGTTATGAATTTTTAAAGTACGACTTGGTTTGTCATTTTTTAACATGGACTGCATCTCCACATTCTGTGATCTCATTCCACCAATCCCGTCATGCGCAATGACTATATAGTTTATATAAGGCAACGCATTCCCTGCCTTATCACTAAAATACTGTTTAGACTTAGTTTAAACTTTCAACTTTGGCACATGAATAATTAATTAAAGCTTTCCCTGACCAATGGTTTAATAGTTTTTGCACACGGCAAACTCTTATGAATGAAACTCTGAGGTAGTACTACGATACAGTTATGCAAGTGGCTGTGAATGGTTGCCAATGACAACGTGTTGCACACGGTAAATTCTGATCATTTATAATATGGATTCTACCGGGTTGTTAAAGCTCAAATTAAAACATTCCAGTTTAAATGTCTTTAAATGCATTCTGAAACACAAGTTATCAATTATTTTGATGTAAATAGTGATAATAAATTAATATTTCCTAAGTATCGTCAACTTCCGCCATTAAAAAGGGGGGCGTGGCCAACCCCATGGCGAAATTAGGTTGAGCGAGCTGCATAACCTGCTGCGAACGCGTAGAAACATGGCGTCTCTCGTAAGACACTTATCCAAATGGAACGGAACTCAAATATATATCGAAAGTACTAATTTAATAATAAATAGACACACACATCGGAAAATTAAAAACTCGGATTTTTTGGCGCCGATTGCGAATTCCCATACACAAAAAGTAGTAGTCCACCTTGACTTACCGAAGTATCAACCAATAGTACCAAAATCCGGAATCCGGGAGAAACCGGAATCCGGATCCGGCGGATTTCGCATAAGAAAATCCGGATCCGGATCCGGTTGGAAAAAACGGATCCGGCACACCCCTAATGTCCCAATCTTTCTGTGTCCTGATTGGATGGATATACTCAAAATCTAATAATAAAATACACTGCCTCTTACCTCCAAACCGTCATAGTCATTAGGCTTGCATTAACTTAGTCAAATAATAAAATAGCTGACTTAAAACTTGTGAGCTTGAAAGCTCTTAAATGAAATAATCTAACTCATGGTTCCCCGCAATTTAAAATATGAGTGCTCTGTCTCACTAAACTTACTGTAGGAGCAAAATGAGTAAGGGTCCAGGTGGATAATCATAATTCTAATGCTGGATGATTTAGCAGCGTGGCAGTCTTGAAGATGTGGCATATTTTGGGTCCCAATCCAAATCTAATGTCACTGTCTTTAAATTAACAATCACATGAACCTTTACACTGGGTAATTAGTAAGGCCTACTAGTATGACTTAGTGATTGCAAAAGGAATATTTATATTTAAATATATGAATATAATAAATGGCTTCTTAGATTTTCATTTGTAGCATTTTCATGCATCCACAATTTTGTTGTATCAACAGCATTGTTGTATCTACAGCATTGTCCTAGTCTGACTCTTATATTTTTTGTTGAGTATCCCTTTTTTTTGGATAAGTGTGCCAAGAAATTTAAATCAACCATTACCTGTAACATGGTTGCTAACATCAGTTTCAAGTTACTCATCATACTCTTAAATAGACCAACTAGTTGATTCAGGGATTTTAAAGCGATAGCCAAAATGGGCTAAATTGCCTCATGTTTAATTTTCTCATCACTCTTTTCAGATGCCTTAAATTTTCTAAATTATCACTGTTTCCATGAGGGCTTTACGTTATAATTAAATCAAGTGTGAAAAGTTCAGTTTATGATGAATTTTTAAAACGACTAAGCAAAAATGGCCATGCAGATAAAGAAGGAACCTGGTCCAAGTACTAGTGGATCAGGTTTGGTTGGGTAAGTAAAAAAAGCTACATTCTGATTGCTGATTTCATTTAGTTTTTCCATTGAATATTTTATATAATTTGAGATTTTGCTACTTTTTTTTTTTTTTTTTGAAAACTAGCTTTAAAACCTTTTTTTACTTTTTGGTATTCTGAATCCTTTTTATATTTTTGTATTGTGTAAGCTGAACATTTTTAATAAAAATATGAGAAAATTTTAATTTGTTTTTAATAGATCATTGACAGATGTGAAGAAAGAACCAGGTGTCACCTCTCAAACCCCAGGGACCGCCAAAGCTCAGCTTATCAGTAAGATCAAGATAACATTAATGCAAGCATGGCGAGATCGATGGACAGAAATACAGTGGGCCATACAACTGAAAAAGCTAATGGCAGCTTATTTTTCAGAGTCTGTAGACATTGCTGGTAATTTTTATGCATAATTCCCATTAATAATTTATATTTTTATAATTATCTGAAAAATTTATGGCTTAAGAACTTGGGGAATAGACATTTTTTTCCCACCTATGCCATGTAAAAGAATTTTTTAAACCTTTGATCAATTCAAATTATAACTTATTTATTATTTGTGAATTTTAAAAGTTGTTTGCAATTGAACATTTAAATTTGAGTGTCTTGTTTTTTAACTGTTGAGTTTCCTTCCTCTCTCTTTTGTAAAAAGAAATTTTGATGCAGCAAGCTCTCATAGGAAGCAGCCCAAACTCATTGATCCTGTCTTATTTGAAACATAGTGTCTTGTCTCAGGTAAATACAAAATTAACTTTGAAAAAGATGATGCTTATTTTTTTCTTCTCAAATTGACCTTTTTTCTTTAAAAATTTGGCTGTATATTTAAATAAGAGCTATACATTTTTTATTTCAGATGATTCCTTTTAATACCGTTCTGAAATACATCACAGAATTCGAAGATTTTTCTCGGCCCTACTGTGTTCTAGCACTTCTCCATCTAGCTGAGATGTTTGGATCAAAAATAAGGTACTACACGGTCAGGCATTTTTTATAAAGCACTAATTATTTTCTATATTTTTGGTCCTTATTTTATAATGTTATGATCTGTTTTGCCATTATAAGTTATTTCACTTCCACAGTTTTAGCCCTTGCCATGACTCTCCTCTACAACTTGTCCGCACTATGCTAAGTCTCAACCATTGGCTTGTAAAGGCTTTGTTTACATGTCTTCAGGTAAGGATTTTATGGCTTGATTTCATTATCTATTTTAAGGAATATTTCCAGTTTTTTTAGACATAAAAACAATTTCAATGGAATGTTAAGTAATAAATTTAAATGAAATATATTGATAAAAATCGTCATAATATACTGTAAGGAAAATTTCCAGTTTTTTTAAATAAAAAGAATTTATTATTAAAAAATTGTAATTGTTTTCTAAAGTTTCATTTTCATTGGAAATGTTAAGTAATACATTTCTATGAGAAATCTATAACATTCTTGCTTGGAGCTTTCTAAACAAAAAAAGAAAAAGAGAATTAATAATAGGCAGAGTGTCATTTATTCTGCCTGTGATTAATTCTTTTTTTTTTTTAGTCATTTGAATGTCATTTATTCTGCAGTTCAAATTAAATTTATATTTTCAAATGTATCAAATGGAATGGAATATTTCTTGAACATACACTGAGTAGTTGAACGTTTGTACTGGAATATTTCTTGAACATACACTGAGTATTTGAAAGTTTGTACTGGAATATTTCTTGAACAGACACTGAGTATTTGAAAGTTTGTACTGGAAGATTTCTTGAACATACACTGAGTATTTGAAAGTTTGTACTGGAATATTTCTTGAACAGACACTGAGTATTTGAAAGTTTGTACTGGAAGATTTCTTGAACATACTCTGAGTATTTGAAAGTTTGTACTGGAAGATTTCTTGAACATACACTGAGTATTTGAAAGTTTGTACTGGAATATTTCTTGCACAAACACTGAGTATTTGAAAGTTTGTACTGGAAATGAGGCTACTGTTTTTTTAGTAACCAATTCAGATGGTCAAGTTGATTATCTGTTAATTCTTTAACCATGATAATTTTTCTTCTCACTTTGTCAGCGCCTTCAAGAAACAAGGCAAGGTCAAATAGCCCCTGAATATTTTGTCATTATGGATAACTCAAGTCGTGCTCTCAATAACATCCTGGAACGTAAGGCGGCTCGTAGTTTAATGCAGATTGCCAGGACAGATAACCCAGGTATACTTAACTTTTGAGTCTAAATACATTTTTGAAATCCAAACTTCAATATGGAATAAGGGGTATAGTTGTTTTTCTTTTCATAAGAACAATATATTTTCTTTCAAAAATGTTAAGTGAGTAGTAATCATATATCCATAATCTGCTAATATTCTCAACAGTAGTTAATCCCCTAAACAGATATGCATGATGATGAAATATTTAATTCTGACAATCCAAGACATGAGTATGGTATCAAGCACTTCTCTGTTTGCTACTATTTAAGTAAAAAAAATCTAGGAAGGGGTGTAGTTCCATCCATACATTTCAGTCAAAACACCATCTGTTTGTAATACATTCTGTAATTACACTTCTGCTGGGTAGAAAATTACTGTTTGTTCTGTGACCTGTGTTAAGCTGATGAAAATTAATCCAATACCTTGTGTCTCTATGGCAGATGGCTACAGAGAGTTTGAGCAGTGTGAGATGAATGTTAGTGGCACATTCAGCCAGTTACCTCGCAATGCGATCCTGGATGAGACCAGGGAGAAGATCAACTCTGCTCTTGTGCAGCTGGCCAAGTCAGTAAAATACATTATCTACCCGCTACTGGTGTTCAACAGAAAAAACAGTTGGATTTTTTCAGAAAAGCACTATTAATTTTGTCCTTAATTGATGGTTATTTTTACTTGAAGATCTCACAAGAATTTAATAATTACACATTTTTAATCAGACTTATTTATTTACTATTTATATTTTTTGAGTTCTTTGTTGACTTACGTTGCGATGCCTTTGTATGACTTCTAACATAACCCAGTAAACAATCACTATTTTTTTAGGAGTTTTTCAAATAATTGTTTGGACTTTATAAAATGATGATATTTTTAATTTGTGGGCTCCATTCTTACAGACTAAATGATACACAAACTAGCTTGGAGGCAGTGCTGGACATTGTCCATTCCCCCATCTACCCAACAATCAATGGCCTGGTGACACTGGAAGCTATACTGAACTCAAGTAGTGACATTCAACCTTTTGTTGACCAGGTTTTGGTGGTCTCAAGACTTATGGTTTGTTGAATTCATTGAAGTATATTAACTTAAGTTTTTGGTTTCTTGTATTATATCAGCCTCAGTTCTTTACTTTCTTAGACTTACAAATTTCTTTCAAGAAATTCATGACTCTTAACTACTGAAATTTATGTTACAGAAACTGCCTATGCCTCAGATGTGCCTGGAAATATTTAGAGCTTGTTTCATGGGTTTTGTGGACACCAATGACTTTTCAGAGGACCTCCAGTGGGCAACATTCACTTTCCTGAAAGTCCCTCACATCCTGACCAGCGTCAAACAGCAGATGCCTGAGTGGGAAATGGGAAACCATGTGGAGAAAGGGCTGGAGATGCTGCTAGAGTTCTCTCACCTGCTGGACCAAACGGACATCAAACAGAAGTCAGTCTCTTATGGTCCCATTGTATTTTTCCCCAATGCATTATTTCAGCCAGGAAGCATTGACCCACTAATGTTGTGTGTTTTTTTTAAAAAAAAGGTCAAGTCTTAGAAATTGGAGTTTTAATGTAGTGATTAACAAGGCTGATTGGGAAATAGATTCTTTGTATTCATCAATCATTTTAAAATTAATTTAGAATATACCCATTGTCAAAGTAAGAACTGAATATTTTTTTTTTTTTAAAACATTTTTTTAGTCATATGTAACATAAAAAAAAAACTTTAAAAAAGTAAAAAAGATAAATGAGTAGCAACAAATGGTGTTTGAGGATCTAGTCAAATCAAATTTTCATTTGATAGTTATTGTTATAGCTTGACAGTGGCATATGCATTTAGCTTAACTTTGTAATTATGTCAATTGTCCTCCTCAGTTTTGACATGTTTGGACAGTTCATCACAGAGCTCCACAAGGCCGGCATTATCTCGGAGGCTCAGAAAATGGCACTCAGTCAGCGCAGGTGGGCTGTTTTTATTCTTTTTTAAAAAGTTTTCTTTAATGCATTTATTGATATTGTAATTGTAAATATTTCTTGGCCTAGCCAGAGCCTCTATAACCCAAGGGCTGCCGACTCCAGCAATGCTCTCTCTTTATCTTTGTATATAACTTGCTGTGGAGAAGTTAACTGCTCTTAGCTCATCCATAACATAAATGTCCAGGCAAGCAGAATATTAACTGTTGTTGCAGTGAAGTCTGGATAACTACTAGCGCAGCATCTTATCTTTTACCAGTATCTTATCTTTATATACGTCGCCTAAACTTATACAGAAGCAAGTGGGAGTGGGCAATCGGTCATTTACAGTCTCATTTAAATAAGGAATAGCAAACGTGAAATTAAGGTCGGGGAGGAAAGATTAGAGACAGTACGTGACTTCAAGTACCTAGGAGCAATAGTCTTAGAAGAAGGTTCCAAGCCCGAATTGATGTCCAGGATTGCCCAGACCACAGCAGCACTAAAGAGGCTTAAGAAAATATGGAATGACAAAAATATAGCCCCCAGCACCAAAATCAGGCTAATACGCTCATTAGTTCTCTCCATTTTCCTGTATGCCTGCAAATCCTGGACATTAACAGCCGAACTTGAAAGGAAAATAAAGGCGATCTCTAATGAACAAGGGAAAGAAAAGATTCGTCAAGCAATTGGGCAGTATGATGACCTCCTGGTGACTGTAAAAAAGCGCAAACTGGAATGGTACGACCACGAAACAAGAAAACAAGAGCTCGCCTAAGAAATCATGCAGGGCACAACGAGATGAGAGAGAAGAAGAGGAAATCAGAGAAAAAGATGGGAAGATAACACCAAAGACTAAAACTAGGCGATGCTGTGCGAAGTGCAGAAAACAGAGAGGAATGGAGACGGATAGTTTTCATGTCATCTGTGGTACCCCAACGGTCTAAGGACTAAGGGACATGATGATGATGAAACATGAAATGGAGGTTTTTGAATATTTATCTGAACTCTTGACCTGAGATTAGGTTGATACACTGAAGCCTGCTAATGGAACATTTCTCTTAACAACTCATTGACATAGCTAAGCTTAGCTGACACATTGAAGGGGGATAACTACTTTGAATTATAAGATATTATGTATGATTTTCTACACAGGACTGGTAAAAAAAATTTCCCCTTTCACATTTTCCTCAAAAGAATAATTTCTTTCTTTACTTATCTGTTCATCTGTCCTTACAAAGATACTTGGTTTTCTAAAGTGCATTTCTTAATTTCAGAGCGGAACAAAGAAGTAGGCTGAGACCATCTGATATATCTGGTTCCAACGATGGCAAGAATCTCAGTAGAGTCACACATGCAGAGGCGACAGTCACGAGTATCTTAAAGGTTGGGGAGTAATTTGTTCCACTCTTCTCTTTCTAGTTTTACACATTTATTCAAACAGACATTTCATAGATGAAATTATCAAGTTTTGACACATTTTTTATTTACCGGCATCATTCTTTTTTTTAAAGCTGTAATTTTTCTCTAAAAAAAACTATTTTGAATCGGAATACGGTTTTCATATATTATTTAATTCCTTTATTTTTACTTCTTATTTTCGTTTTATTGTAAAAAGAAGAGAAATGTATTTTGCTTTTTGTTAGAAGCAGCTTAAAATGTTAATATTTTCACTGGACACGGGCATGCTTTCAGTCATTGTATTTTTTAATGTTGGTTTGTGTTTTCTATTTTGTTTATATATTATTAAACCTTTTTGTCTTAAAACAAAGAGAAAGAGAAAACAATCATTACTGCTACCTGCTTATTGGTTATCTAACTTTATTCACTAATTTCTATTTAGTTCTAAAATTCTCTTCATTTAAACACAAATTTTGGTTGGATTAAGCGATATATGCATGCAAAAAACATGATTGAAATGTTACATTAAAGACTGAGGCTATTAAATATATTGCAAATATGGAAACACATTAGTTTTGAACGATGTATATTGAAGGGTTTTCACAAAAGCTTCAGCCACAATGCCTAAGCTAAAAGCTTTTGTATGTATCAGGAGAGTTCTAATTGGGGCAAAACTTACTCTCTCCAGGGAAGTGCCACTCTGGACAGGATGTTAAAGGTGAAATAATTTGTGAAGTAAAAGTGATGAATTTGTTTGATGTTGTCACATTGCAGGCTGTTATTGTTGCACAGCATTTGGACTGTTCCCATTATGTTGTTTTTTGTGGCACAGAAGCTGTCATGTAGAAGTACGTTGGGAATTTTCCCCCCTATGTTGTCGTTTTGGCACAGCATTGCAATTGTTCCATTGTTAAAACCTTTTTTCTGAACCTTTTGATAGTTTTATACTTTTGACAATTCCATTCATATGTTCCCTATAAAACAATGCCCCTTATTGATCATTTCTGCTTATCTGAATGTCTGTATGCATATTGGAACCTGTACTGATTTCATTTCTTGTCTTTTTTTGCAGTGGCTTATTTTGAAAAAAATATTTAAAGTCTTTTGGAAATATTCGCAATAAATTTGAGTATTTGTTCTTTATATAAATTTATTTTTTGATCTGTAGATCATAAATATTCCTGTCTTTCAGTTTGGCTAAAACTATTCCAAACCAAGAAAATACCAATCGCTTATTGTTATTTGACAACTGACAGATTTATGTATTATTTATTTCATTATGTTTACTGTTTGGGTTTTAGAAAATGTCCATCTTATGATAATTTGGGGAGTGGGTGGGTGGGGATTGTCTTTTGCTTTGTTTTCCCTTTCTGGATGTACCTAATTATTTAATTCCATAAATGATTTAGAAACAGCTTTTTATATATGTAATATGTGTGTATGTTTGGACATTTCACTTACAACTGATGCTGACATATGGCACATTGTATAACATTCTATATTGGAATTGTAAATAAGATAAGATAATATTCTTTTATTGATCCAAATCAATGGAAATGTTTTGTTAAAATTAAAATGTACATATTCATTTTCAGCCCATAAATAAATACATATTTTAACCAAAACATTTTACAATTAAAACAATTTAAACACAAGACATTTGAAGTATTTTTCTAGCGTAGAAATCATCCGTCAATGAACTCCCTTAGTGACAGTATAAATGTAACTATAATCGATATTTCAACTAATATAGAATCTGAAATTTACTTCTTCACTCAATGAGATGTTGTGTTGAAACAAGTTTAAGACATGCAGCTATTAATACACAGTTACATCACTGAAAATTGATATTTTTCTTTATGTAATTATGCTTGGATATTGAATCAAAGTTCTGGCATCTCACAAAGATTTAGTTTCAGATTTAGTAGAGAGACATGAGCAGTCCTTAATAATATTTTTTGTTACTGTATTGAAAAAAAAGATTTTAAATTTTGAAGTATATAGTATTTACTCTGATATGGGTTATGATTAATGCATACAATTGTTTGGTGTTGGCTCTTAACGCTATAATAAATGTGCATATGACAGTATTGTTGCTGGGCTAGTATGGTGGTTTGTCACCATTTGTTTGCTAGCAGCTTCACATGCCAGGTTGAAATTTTTTGTCCAGACTTTTAAATTATCATGTGGACAAGGAAGGGCTAATGTATTTGCAATACATAATCATCTAGATACATTGCAATATACATCAGAAAAGTAAATGTACTGGATGAAAACACAGGACTTATGAAAAAGCTTATCACATCGCTGGAATGGATTGTTACTCTCTAGCACTTCATACCCCGTTTAAAGTACCATGTCATAATAATCTCTAAGCACTGCTGGAGGGGGATCCTCCTGAATGCCATTCTTATGTCAATGCTGCAAGACATGAACTTTTTTGTTAATTTAGTGCATGATGAGAACAAGTTGATTATGGTGGTAAAGAATATCTGTTATGTAAAAATATATAGGATGTGTCTGTATATTTAACAATGTCCAATTTATGTAGGTTTATTTAATTTTTGATAAATACAATTTATCATTTTAGTAAATGTCTGAGATTTTATATCTCTAGGCTCAAATGAGATTGTATACCGTACAATAGTTGTTTTTTTTAGTGGCCGTAGCAAAAATGAGACACTCTTGTGTTTTAAGAGAAAAATGATAATTTTTTTAAAATAAAAAGTTAACAATAAGAACACGAGGAGAGGAGTTTGTAAATGTGTTTTTAAGGATTAAAGTGAGATTAGTTTAACTCAATATTAAATCACTGAGGAAAAATTTCTCAAAGTCTCACATTTATTTTACCTATTTTAAAAAGTTCCAGCTAATATTATTTAACTGTTTTACATTTTCTCGTCATAATGATATATAACTGTTAAAAACATTGGCTGGTTATATGAGACATAAACTTATTCATTCTCTTCTATCAGTCTCTGGACTCGGACCCTCAGCGGAACTCAGACTCCATGGTTAAGGTGTTGACCATCATGCTTCAGGGACACAGTTTTGACATTCTGAGACTGGCAGCAGCGTGCACAGGCAGGCTTCATGATTTTATGTCCAAGCTCATCAGGTAAGAGATGCGACGAGTGTGACTTTTGATGTAGCTTTCACTGTTGTATACATTTCAGTCAGTTTTGCTCCAGAGGGATCTTGAGCTTAGCACAGGGCTGTTGACTGACTTTCGGTGGCTCCTGCCACTTTTCAATGAGTCCCCCATTCCCTCTGTTCGAAGTTGAAGGGTTTTGCCACATCACAACTTTGGGCCCCATAAATAGCTGAGGTAACCTGCAGCCACTGGTTGCAGGGTCCACGCAACCTCTGATCTGGCATTTCTAATACTGAAAGTACAATATTAAGGAGAAATTTTTATATTTCTGGAATGAATAAAACAACTTTTATTAACAAAATCATTAATTTATTTGTATTAAAATTGTTCTATAATTTGTTCTCAAATTTAATTGATTGTGATAAAATACACCTTAGCAAATACTGACTGACAATTTTTCAATGGTAACATACACATACTTGATGACTTCATTGTAGAGTTATTTTTACATCGCTCACAAGGGCTGAAACTGTTTTTGTTATAGAATCAATGAGCTCGCATCCCAAACAACAAGTGAGTCCTTGAAGATCCCAAACAGAAGCCAACTATTTGATGTGACATTCCTCATGATCATCAGCATATTCCAACAGAATGGACTATCGGTAAGACTTTCTGTGTAAACTTGATCCACCAGACAAATAGAGACCTTTACAATAGTGTTTATTTTGTATGCATTACACATTTTTTAAACTTATTGAGTTATAAATTTGATTGAAGAAATATGCATTAGTAAGTGATTCTCAAATACTGTTTTAGATTCAGTTTCTCTCCAACATGTATCCAAGACATTGTTGCCATGATTAATTGCTAACAAAAAAATCAAATGACATTCACTAACTTTGTGGTTTTGAATTGCAATGAGGGCTATTCTTTTTTCCCCTCACAGATAGCCCTGTCTAATAAAGAAAATGAATACTCCCTTGTAGTTCAATGGGCTAAAAGATGGCTCCCTGAAGATGGGAAGTATAAAAATGTGGAGTCCACAGAGGAACAGGACAAAATTGACTGCATTCTGAATCTGATGCTGAGCAATGCTGAAATAGTTCCATGTGGACAGTAAGAAACCAAGCAATCTGATATATTCAGGGATTTTGTGATGTAGCTAAAAAAACTGAAACTTGAGACTTCCGATTCTTTTGATGTAATATAAGTAAAGGCCAGAACTTTGTTGACACATTAAATATTATTTAAATAATCAAAAGTGATGCTAACGTGGTAAATAGTCTTTTCTATGTTGAGATAATAACAATGAGTTATGTACCTGTGCTATGGAGAGGGTATCTTTTATATGGGCATTGTATAAACCTCATTATTGCTTTTGTTTTGGCCTCTTAGAGTGAATGGATGGAAAGAGCTGATTATGTACCTGCCCTATGCCTTGCAAGAAGTGCTGTTTGCTCTGGAACACATGGCACTTACTTTGGATAAGGTCAAGGTATGTCCAGTTAAGGTCAATCTATATCAAGTTAGCCAGACACAAAAATGCTCATTCCTAAATATATAATTTGTTAAAGTTATCCCTAACCTTATCATTATGCTATTATCCATTGGGAAAGGCCCTGTTTATCAAATTGTCCCTTCTTAATGGACTACTGACATTTCATTTCAGTTATCCCTTTTCAAGAAATTTCATTTATTACCACCATGTTGATCCAATTTGCTTATTACCATCATATTGATCAATTTTGCTTATTGCCACCATATTGATCAAGTTTGCAATTTGGTCACGTGTCCAAGGGTCTGACACCATGTTGACATTTATCAGCATAAGAGTCTTTGCTGCATACGGAGTGTTGATGTAGTTGATGACATGAACGATGCCATTTCTATCTCCCCCCATCCCTTAGCTCATCATCGACCACATCCGCAAACAGAACAACAAAAGCCTGATTCTTGTGTGCACCACCTACCTGTGTAACTACATGAACATGGTTGGGGCCAGCGCCAGAGTCAAGCCACTCAAGATGCTGGAGTTCTTCACAGCTTCTTTAGGGATAGATGCGTGAGTTAACATACAACCAATCTTGTGCTTTAACACATTGGGTAAAAAAAGCCATTAATTGACTTTTCTCTGTGGCTGGCACCATTTTGTTTGTTGCAGGTCAGGTCAGGTCAGGTAGTTTATTGCTTAAACAATGTATTTTATTAACTAAAACTAAAATCATTTTCACTGTTGAATAATTTATTAAAGAAATAATTTGTATCCTCTTTTATACTTCAATTCATTGTTTTACATTTGAAAACATTTTTTGATTTAAAAAAAATGTCTTTGAGTGGTCAATCATTTCCTTTTTATCAAGTATCTATTTAGACCAAAAATTGATGATTTTGATGCTGTCATGGCCAATTTTTTTTTGTTATTAACTGAATGGATTCTTGATAAAGCGGGTAACAGATTTATAAAAAAAAATGAAATTATTTCTCACCCTGTTGACGCTTGCTAGCATTCTTCCCAACAGGAAACTCCCAATCCAAGCCATCATTGACAATATCATCTTTGACATTTTACCCGAGGGCCACCCTCAGAGACCGGCCAGGCGTTACCTGCTGTCCAGCAAAAAACTGACCAGTGAGATTATGAACGAGACGCTAAAAGAATCATTCCACAGAGGCTGGCTCAACATGGCATCATTACACACACTTGAACAGCTGTTGGTGCTGAGGGGCCCTGATTGGTTTTGTGGGGAAATGGTTGAGGTAGGTGGCGGCTTGTTGTTGTTTGTTTTGGTGGGTGGCATCTGGTTGTGGTAGGTGGCTTTCAGAAGCCCTGTTCAAGCTTTTTTTAATTGTATACTTTTCAAAATTATTACTTTCACAGTAACTTTTTGACATGGATGAAAATTACCAGTAAAAGTGTCAAAGGAAAAAATGAAAAACTTATTAGATATCCTTTATCTTCCCTGTATATAAGATAGTTTCCTTTCTAAATATCTTATTTTTTCTCTCTTATTGGCATCACTTTCTCACACATATCAAATTATTTCCTCTCTTTATTTATTCAATTATTTCCTCTCTCTATTTATTCAATTATTTCCTCCCTGTATAGCACTTGTTAAAACAGAATCACACTGACGATGCCTCACAGTCTCTGAGTCTGGCATTTGCCATCATGCACATGGACCTGGAGCGCATGACAATCAGCTTGCTGAGGCGGGTGCTGCCCAGACTCCTATCAACACCACAGACCAACCTGCTGACAGACCCTCGGGGCTACTGCCTCGCTAAGCTTTGTGTGCTCAGCATAACAGCAACTCATATGTCCAAGATTGGTCAGAAAGGTCAGTGGGTATTTAGTCTTGTGCATGCAATTAAAAGATTCATGTTTGTAGTCATAATCAGGTACAAGATTGGCATTTTTTCTAGCATGCAATTGCTTAACTTTAAATAAACCAGCTCGGTCCTTTCAAATACAACTGACAGGTTGTTTTTTTTTTTGTTTTTTTGTTACATCAAAAGTAGTTGCAAGAAGGCATGAAATTTTCCATTTAGATTATGCTTTTAATATCAGCACACAAAAACATGTCTACTGTAATTTTACTTTGGTTAATTTTTTTTTTAATCAAGCATTTAAATTATTTGTATGCCAAAACTTACTGAGACAATAACTGTTGCTCTTTTTTTGCAGGTGGGCTTAAAAATAAAAGTAATCCATGTTATCCAATGTATTAGATTATAATATGATCTAAGGTATTCAATGAAGAATTTTATCCACAGAGCCTTATGTCAGAAGACTCCACAAACGTACAGTGCTTGAACTAGACTTTGATGAGGTAAACCAGTCATTATGTTTTCCATACTTTTAAATATATACACATAGTAATACGGTAATTAGCAAGATGCTATGGTTCACCAGGGTCAGAAACATTAATTACCTATGAGCAAACTAAATTGGTATAAAATTAATTTTGATCTTCTGTTGTGGTTAGTAAGAATAAAAATATCAGATATTCCCAACAACATTGCAGGTGAGAACCTGTCTTGTATCTATGATGATGATTATTTAGTATGTTCATAGCCCTTGTGTCCATGCAAGTTTACTCCAACTAAATATTTTCTATCAATGAATGCTAACTCTCCCTAATTCTTATCATCAAAAGCTTATGATCAATTCAACTGCACTTCTTTCTCCCCATATGCATTTTTTTTCCCAGGATGTGGAAGACACAGAGGCTTCACCTGCCAAGCTCCGTAAACTTTCAGAGCCTCAACTGAGCTTAAGCCTGGAGGACTTTAATTTAGGTACGGTATATACTCGCATATAAGCCGAATTTAGAACTATAAAATACAATACTGAAATCAGGGGGACGGCTTATATGCGCATAAAACAAAATGGACACAAGGACAGACACTAATGCCAATTTTCCAGCCACACATTTTCATCACTATCTGACTCTTTATTTAGTTGTGTGTACAGAGTACTAATAGATATATATACAGAGGTGTCACTTCAAAAAATTTCATGTATGCAAAGCTGATAATTATCCTGAGTATGAATATTACCATGGAGAATTCATTTTCCAAGTCAAAAATGGCATAAACTTAAGAAAAAGATACTTAAAAAACAGAAAATGTTTTCTATGTCTAGGGTTTCTTAACTAATACTCTATGCGCAGATGTATAGAATAAAGTGAGACTGACACGACCGCGTGGTTGAGTGTGCACCAGTGGTGAGTCTTAACCAAGCAAGAGCTAGCGGTGAAGCCGATGTCATCGGTAGACGGTCTGATTTCTTAGAAATAATACACTCAAAAGAAGGCGGTCGTAAGGGAATCCCCTTAAATCACATGCATAGGCATGAAGAGGGGAGACAGAGGCAGCCAGTTGGTAGGCAGCGCAAGGCATGGGAAGGGGGACGAGGGTCGCGTGGCTTGTAGGGGAATAGCAAACCAACGGGAAACCAATGGGGCAGACGTGAGCACGCAGCCACAGAATTTAAAAGTCTGCTTATATGCGGGTTTTCGCAAAAACTGGCCATTTTAAAGCAGTTTTAGGGGGTCGGCTGATATGCGATGTTGGCTTATCTGCGAGTACATACAGTACTTTATTTATGAATAATCACATGGCCTCGCCTTGACATCAAAACTAGAAAAGGCAGCAGTGTTTTATATTTATTAGCATTGATAGCAACAATATTGTTCATTTACCTAACAACTTATTCATACTTTCAAAAGTAACTTTGTATATACTCTGGAAATGTTTATGCCACCTGTATCAAGCTAGTAATTCATCATTGTTCTTAACTACAATCATCAAGCTAGTAATTCATCATTGTTCTTAACTACAATCATCAAGCTAGTAATTCATCATTGTTCTTAACTGCAATCATCAAGCTAGTAATTCATCATTGTTCTTAACTACAATCATCAAGCTAGTAATTCATCATTGTTCTTAACTACAATCATCAAGCTAGTAATTTATCATTGTTCTTCAGCTGCCCTTGCTGACAAAGAAGATGGTGAGGTCCTGCCAACATGTGATGTCAAGGAACCATTGGATAAAGCATTAGGTAAATGTTCCAGTGTTTACAAAGTGATCCAACTTATTTTTTGTGATGCTAGTTTTGCTATAGGAAGTAAGTAAGTGATAATGGGCTTTATTTAATCTCAATACATTTTGCCAATGACTCAATTTTTAAATTGTTTTATTAGAAGTTCAACCTGCAGCATGAATAATTTATAATTAAAATTAATCGCTCAAAGTAAGATTTTTTCCTTCTTTTATTGTGCATGCTTGGATCATATCTGGTGCCCAGATGTTGTCTTATAAGGTCATATTTTCTTCCATACCTCATTCAAGGTTAGTTTTATGGACTTTGTTTGTTTGTTGAAACATCAACTAACTTTGTGCTCACACATCCTGGGTTTTCTTATCGTTAGTGAATCTTTTCCTGATGATGAACACCATCCTGATGAATAGAACCCTTACGCCTCGAACTTGGTTCATTGTCTCCTTCATACAAGAGGCCATCAAGTGCGGTGGAGCCCACTCACGTTTTATATTTCAATTCATGCCTCAAAACATGGTGAGTGAATATTATAGATACAGGGAAGAACAACTTTCTAATGAATCTGATATCAAAACTGTGGGCATTTCTACTGTTGCTGTTGATCAATTGATTTTTGTTCTGAAATAAGTGATTTTTTGTTTCTTTCCCCTTAGGATGTAGCGAATTTTAAATTGTCATTGTACTGGATCGTTGTCTCAATTTTAACATTTTTGTACTTTTCTGCTTTACTTTCTTTTTAGGCTTGAATATTTTTCTTTTATGTTTTTTAGGCCAGTGTTTCAAATGTTTCCAAATTTTTTGTCAAATGTTTCTGAAGAGTTGTCTTAACCACAACAACTTTTTGTGTTTCACAGTTAGCCCTAACAGAGCTAAATGTGTAGAATTCATGTAATAATAAATTGCAACTCATAGTTTTACAGTTGTGACCTTCTCATTAATATGTTCCTTATGTTTTGTAATTCAGCTAAACCAGATGATGCGATCTCTACCAGGCGTATTTACAGATGAGCACATACTCAGGATATGTGACCTCTCCTCTGTGTCTGGTAGAAAAATAGCAGCCAAGGCCATCTGTAACAATGCACAGATGTCGGAACTCAATCTTTTTGACTGATCAAAATGAGGCTACTGTTTTTTTAGTTCAAATTTTCAAGTTGCTGAGAGTTACCAATATGAAAGTCAAACAAGTCTTCAATACTGCAAGCGTTAAATGTTGACTCGCAGCATCATGTTTATGGGTAAGATAGTTTAGGGTCCTCAGTAAATAGATCAAAATACGCGTCTTCTAAGGACTGGATTTAGTAAGATGTTAATTACATGAGAAAAATAAGAGATCCATGATTTTTGCATGTCATTGAAATGGTGTTATGTTGATGTTAATTAAATTTAAATACATGTTAACATAATTGAAAATGAATTATTTGCAACCTGACAATTATAAATAAAACCTTGTGAAATAATCACTTTCTTTCCTTGATCATTGAAGTGAAAGTCATTTTAAAAAAAATATATTTTGGGATATCACGACCTCTAGAGCAGACATAGACTCTGGTTAATTGGTTCAGCACATTTTTGCAGCTGTTTGCAATTAAGGTGTAATTTTTGAAAAAAAAAGATTCAGCAAAAAATACAAAACCTCAGCAGCAAATGAAGTTTTATGAGTTGTGAGTAAATATATTTGAGAATTCTCTTCAAAGTTGGTCAGAATTCTCAGGTGTGATTTAATCTAGCAGTTTTGTTGTTTTCTGTTCCGGCATAAGCTCAGGAATATTATCATCACTCTCTAAGTCTTCGTAGAAAACTTGCTTTAAGAAAGCATGCAAACTCTGGTTATGGTTCTGTTTAACCCTTTTGAGACAGTGCCTTGTTGAAAGATAGAGCCCATTTTCACAAGCCCTGCACTTTGCAAACAAAATTAATAAAAAATGAATTATTTTTAAATATAAAACTATATATATTCCATTGGGAATTGAATAAACTAATACGAACTGTATGAATCAAACTGAAATCTCAACATTTATGCAAACGGGATATCCTGATTTACATAATTTATGCATGCACATTTTTTTACACGTAGAATTAAGTTGTCTTGCAGAAATTTGTTTTATTTTATTGATTGTAGAAGCCTAAATAAGTCCTAACCCATATTTGAAAAACATTCTATGTAAAAAAAAAAAAACGATAAAATTCCCCTTAAAAAAACATTTTAGAAAAAAAAAAAAAAAGTTAAAAACCCCCCCCCCCCCCCCCGGGCATATAGAGGTCACAAGTACCAGACATGATAGAAAATTGACATTACACTAAAATATCAATAGAAGCCGCCATTAACGTGAGCTGAGCAAGAAATGCAAAACGCACTCTTATTAGCTCAAACTACTGGTACGAAGGCCCGCAGCTTATCTGGACACTGATTATTGGGGTGATCAGTTGGCCTTTTGTCCGTTTCATCATAGTATTATAACATAAGGGTTAACTATTAAATCTGGCAGTGCCACAACTAAAAGGTCTTACAAAACTTGGGGGACAAAAAGTAGTTTTAATATTGTATGGCTTTATTGAATTTTCAACATGAACAATATCTAATCAAAACCATGTTAATAAAAAGTTGTTACACAAACGTTTGGTGTGTTAGTAAAACCATGAATTATATTTTATATAGCTTACAATACGAAAATACCTCTCCTCTACTCTTTAAAAAAAAAATTGTGTATGCAACATTCAATTTATTATTGTCAGTCCGATATAATATGTAAAATATAGCAATTACCAAAACTTAACCAGGTGTAAAAAAAACAATTGGTCAAAACATTATTATAGTAGGCCAAAATGTATTTAAAAAAATCACAGAATTCTTGGGGTAAAGATGGTATCACCTAGCACTGAGTGGCACTCGAAGAATAAAAAAGACTGACAAGAGCATAACAAAATTGGTGAAAATAAATAATGAAAATGGGGCTTATTGTGAACACAGGCATACAGGACTTTTGAAAGGAGCTATTTTGTACAAGTAGTTATTTTTTTGTTGGAAGTTTTATCAAATAAATATTCACGTATATTTAGTCCTATAAAATGTTTAGAAATATCACAGATCAATTTATAAAGTCAAGTTTTTAGAACACAAAAGCAAAAATTTGATGTTCTGTTGAACAAGGTTTGAGATTATGCCAATAAGCCAAACAAGTTAGGTCTGTCTAATAAAAAGAAACCATCACACAGCCAATGGAATGAGTTACACATTTTAATTGATCTTTTCATCAACCCAACATTGTCCAGTTTGTCACTGTCCCTACGTAGCACAGGGGATCCCATTTGAATTTATATGACTAAATCAAAAGAACAGGAAACAGCACTTGACATCCACACCAGGAACAGTCAAACATTGTGCTAATATCATTAGCAAATTCTCAATAAATACATGGAGAAACCCTCCCCCGTCATATGAGTTGAGCAACCCTCCCCCGTCATATGAGGTACTTATTTACATACTTGTATGCATACAGCGCAGTAAAATGATGAAACTTCTAAATGAAAAGGATAAAGCAAAAGTCATTATGGTGAAATAATGAGAGAACAAATGTCCTCAGATGCAGCTGTCATTGTCTCCCGCCTTCCTTAGGTATTGCTGACTTTGTCTCGCTGGCAAGTAACAGCCTTCCCCAAGTACTGCCAAGTAACATTTTTTTTATGAAACTGAATCTTCATCGTCATCCCTGCGACGCTTGGATGGGACCAATCCACCAATCAGGCCATTGGCCGTTGTGAAAAGGTTAATGGGTGAGGAGCCATCAGTAATAAGGGTAGACTTGAGCCCCAGAGCTTGCAGCATACGAACCTGTTGAAAGGTAATGGTTGGCGGTGTTAGCAGCAGATAAAACAGTTCTCTCATTTTCTATGAATATATAGATATGTTTATATAATACAATCCACCTTCTGTTGAGGACTCCTACCTGGTTATCAGGCCCAGCGGTTGCCATGGCAAGAATCGTATTGGCTCCAATAGAGGAAACCATCTCCTTGAATTTTGTGATTTCAATGTTCGACAGCTGGTCTGCTTTCTCAAGTTCCATCTTGTTCTGTTCAGAGACGTACTTCAGTTCTGCTTCACGGGCTTTGGTCAATCTGTCTAACTCTGACTCCTGAGGCAGTAAAGCATTGCAACATTTCAAACCTTTTAGATGCATGTCAACAAATATTTATTTAAACAACTCTTTGGAAATGTATATTGAGTATGCAGTAACACTGCATATTTTTGCCTATATGTCGAAACAGAAAGGCTTATAAAAATCAACATTTAGAATTAAAAAATGTGTGTTCTGAATCTTGTGTAAAAATTAAATTGTGTAGATTTTCAATAACATCAAGTTCTCTCTGAGCGAAATAAGCTTTTTTATGTGTTTTTAAATGTATACATTTTTAAATAAGTTAAAAGTTAAGAAAATTCTATTTTAACTTTTTCTGTAGCATACACTTGTCAAAAAAATAAAAAATGACAAAAATCCCAGACTGAATGAATTGAGAGACATTTGCAAGTCAACATTTGCTGAAAGTGCATTGGACAAGGTTATCTGATGGTATCAGAAGAATTTTTTTATAATATGTATGTTGATGGTGACCTTGACCTTTACAGGGTGAGCAAAACATCAGTTAAAAAATTCTCAATCAAAGTTATCAAATCCATTTTTATTAATTAATACCCAACCATAAACAAACATAAATGTCTCGTTTAAATTTCCACCCTTTCCTAAACAAATTTGTACAAATTCGACTAAGCCTAGGGCTAAACTTGTCAATATCTGACTCTTATGTCGCCATCACCACTAGAGCTAATAATGTCATTACTAGCACTTGGAATATCTCTGAAATCTTTGCTTTCATTTTAATCTATTTGAAATAATTTCAATAAAGAATTTCTGTGTTGATCTTGCAATCTAGATGGGGACCCTCCCTGGCATCAAACAAAATGGCTGTCAATTTTTTAAAGAAAATTTCACACCCGAATAATCACCCAAAAATCCCATACAAAAGCATGCTAACATGCAGATGGTAACGGAAATACAAAGCAAACTCATTTATATAGAGTGATTTCCCCTTAACCAATATACATTAAATCGTCAGTATTTTTAATGATGATTTTGCTAGAGGCCGATATCGGCCGTGACACCACAGAAAGGGGTATAATAAATGATGATCGGCTGTTATGACTGTTATGACAATTAAAGAGAATAATTTACTGAACCAGAGATTTTAAAAATTTGGTATAAAACAAATTGGAAAGTGTGATGAGAAACTTACCGCCTCAATTTTAGTGGCTTGAGCCTTCAGTCTGGCTTGCTCTACAGCAGCCTCACCCTCAATCCTTGAAGCCTCAGCTCTACTCTGAGCCTCGGCTTTAGCCTGGCCGGTGCTCTCAACAGCTGCACTATTGGCCTGCAGCTCAAGGAGCTCTTTACGAGCCTTTTCAGCCTCTGCCTCATCAGTGATCTTTTGACGCTCCAGGCGGCCTTTGGCCTCCTGCTCAAGACGCTGGGCTTCATGTCTGGAAATGCAATCCAGATTTTTAGAAACCCACAGAATTTGCCAAGTCCCCAAATTGTACAAAAAAATAAAAATTAAAAAATTAAAATTAAACCAATAAATTTACTCATTAAGAATTCAGTCAACAAAGTCACAAATAACTGCTAATGGTTAGTGGTGCTACCTGGCAGTTGCCTCCTGAGAGTTTGTGGTTATCTCAATGGCTAGCTGTACAGATTTCTGAAGGGCATCCCGGGTCCTCTGATCAACTGGCTCAACAGACTGAATGTCTATACTGGTGAAAACAAGGTTGTTTTGCGGGAAGCTGAATTTTTCCTTGACCTTTCCATTGGCATCCATGCCAAATACAGATGCCCTGATAATTTTGGCAGAGTTCTGTGATGCAAAAGAATTCAGAGTTCAAATTAAAAACAATTGTGACCCAAGCCACGATGTGACAAAACAGATCTTTTAAAAATATTTAAATCTTGTTATGCAATAAATGTAATTTACTGTAATTCTTGAAGACATTAACTGTTTAAATTATTTAAATACAATTTAGATTTATAATTGACACCATGTGTAACACTGTAAGGTAGGTAACATGAAAATGGTTTAAAGTTGTCCTGTGAGGTAGGTAGCATGAAAATGGTATAAAGTTGTCCTGTAAGGTAGGCAGCATGAAAATGGTTTAAAGTTGTCCTGTAAGGTAGGTAGCATGAAAATGGTATAAAGTTGTCCTGTGAGGTAGGCAGCATGAAAATGGTATAAAGTTGTCCTATGAGGTAGGTAGCATGAAAATAGTATAAAGTTGTCCTGTAAGGTAGGCAGCATGAAAATGGTTTAAAGTTGTCCTGTAAGGTAGGTAGCATGAAAATGGTTTAAAGTTGTCCTGTGAGGTAGGCAGCATGAAAATGGTATAAAGTTGTCCTGTGAGGTAGGTAGCATGAAAATGGTATAAAGTTGTCCTGTGAGGTAGGCAGCATGAAAATGGTTTAAAGTTGTCCTGTAAGGTAGGCAGCATGAAAATGGTATAAAGTTGTCCTGTAAGGTAGGCAGCATGAAAATGGTTTAAAGTTGTCCTTTAAAAGAAGTGAGTCAAACTACATCCAACCTTGTGAAAGTCATCAAACTGAACCTGAGCCACAGCCCCACGCACACGGGATGCAATGGCCTTACATGAATCACCAGTGAAGTCTGGAACACTGAAAAGCTTGGCTGCCTCTAGTGGTGACTTATCTCCCACTTCAAAATGCCTGCAAGAGACACGATGACAGGATGATTTTTTTTGTTTTTGTTTAAAAGTCAACCACAAAATAAAACTTTCAACAATTTTTATTTCTATCAACAACTTATGCCAAAAGTAAACTTTCAACAATTTTCATTTCTATCAACAACTTATGCCAAAAGTAAACTCTGGTTCCTTCAATCTTTCTCCGTGGTGCAACGCACAGTACCTTCATCCGCTGTCCTGAAAAGCATGGACCAAGGACCAACGCACTGTGCGTTGTTTTAAAATCATGGTAGTTTCTTTGCTATTTTTCTGTTAAACTTTTTAAGAGCTATTTTTTAATGAGACTTTTACATAGAAGAGTGGTACTTCATTGCTTATGAGTGAAAGCAAGATTATTTGTTGTCATTTGAAGCTTTATTTTTATAATATTCTTCCCGTTTTTTTTTTCTTTACCAATACTGTTGCTATGGCTACCAAGGTCCTACTAGGGTAAGTTTCCTAGACTGCGCAACAATCTTTGGAAATGCTTTATACTATTTCTATTGACAGTGAAGTTGATTTAGATTCAGATCAATCACATGATTCCGAGATTAGTAGTTTTTGATGATTTGAGTTATAGCAGTGATGTATGCTTACAACAATGGGTTTGGGGGGGGGGGAAAAGGTTTTGCATTTCGTGTTTTCACATTTTAAGTTTCTTTTCTGTGACTTATTTTAGTGAAACTGAATAAATAAGTTTACAAACAAATAGTCCAATTATCTTTCATTTGATATCAACTTTAGCCTTATAAATCAAAACATAATATTTTAAATATTTTTTAATAAACCCAACCTCACTCTTTTTCGCTCTTTTAAAAAAAAAATGTAAATTTTTTCATTAAAAACATTCCACAGCGAAAGATTTAAAAGTATGAAGAATATAATAAAACTAAATTTGTACTAACCAATTGTAAGAGAGCTGAAGGGACAACCTGGCGTGATCTGCTGTCTCTACAATAACAATATCTGTACAGAAATCTGGTCCCAGAAGCAAGCATAAAGATTTGATGACATTGGGCTTTTTGGGTTTCCCCCCCGAAAGACTCAACTGTGTGAATTGTTCATCTGGCCCCAACATGACCAGCTCTGGCCCAAATATTACCCTAAGGAAAAAACATATCCAAACAACACTATCGTTAGTCCCAGGCAAGGTGCCAGGAAAAAAAAATAATTTTAATATGCCGTTTTGTTATTCCTGAAATATACAATTGTTTAAAATTGTCAGTACACATAAATTTTTTTAATTTCAAAGGGACACTAGTCAAAAGGTTTAGCCAAATTAAAAATCTCTGTAAATGATTTAATCCTTGCATTTTTTAAATTTTAAAACATAAATTTTAAAAATAATGACACACCTGGCTTTTTTCTCTTTATAATCATAAATTTGAACTGCTGCATTGTGAGGGACACGGAATGTTACCACACGAGTTTTGTCCCTGGTCTTTGTTCCACCTTCCGCCTTGCGTTCACTGCGCTCTGCCAAGTGGTCAACAGCCAAAAGACTTTCAACAGCCGGAGGCAGCTCCTTGGACCACAGCTCCTCATCCTGGTTTAGCATGTACGTCTCACCCTGAATAGCCCTAACCTGAAGAATAGTCAATTGTGTAATGTGTATGTCCATTTTATGTTCACTTGCATGTTACTGTGAATAGATACAATGGGTAAAAAAAACAAAATATTCTAATAAATTGTAAGCAAACAAAATTTTAAAAAAAGGAATACAAGCTAAACTTGTACGTCATGTATAATGTTCACAGGCAGAAGAAATCAATTTAATAGCGTTTCTTTTTTCTGAAGAACTAAGAGCGTAAGGCGCTCTTGCTTTCATAACTTAACTTAAAATGGTATCATGGATTTCTTTATAGTTTATATTACTCAATTAAAATATGAGTAAATAAAGATCATAGATATTCAATACTTAACTTAGCTTGGTAACAGATGTATAAAGAACAATAGAAGAAGTTTTTTTTTGGTGTCTCACCTTTCCCGTCTTGATGTCTCTGACATAGATACCTTCATTCTCATCCAGTGGAATGGCCTGCCTCTTCATAACCACTTCCACTTCAACAGGAGGAACATACTCCTTAGGACCTCTGATCATCCATCTGTCCCCAGGTGATCGTTCAGTGTCCTGGAAAAGTTAAGTCAAAATAAAAATGCAATTTCTACAGAATGGCAGGTCAGTGTTACTAAATTAAGGAATACCCAACAGCAACCCGACATTATGTAAATGGGGCTCTCATTGACTTACTTTATAACTGCATTATTAACATCTTTTTTTACCCCTTTCCCTCATATCAATAGATGATGCCATTCATAAAATTATTTAATCAATGGTTTTTTTTGGCCTAAAAGAAAATGCCCCAAGCCCTTGTTGCAAACTGCTGTTTTGAAACTTGAAAGTAAAAAGTTTGGGAAAATGTTCTTGATTGTCATGAGAAAGCAAGCATTCAGATTTAATTTTCAATATAGTAATAAAAAAAAAAGTGAATACAATGAATGTATCACAAACAGACAAGAACTCAAGAGCAAACTAAAATATAAGAAAGATGGCATTGATGTCACCTACCCCATCCATGAAGGATTCAATAGAACGGAGGATAAGTCCTTCATCTTCCCCAAGAATATAAACATTTTGAATTCCCTTTTCCAACTTCTCACCAGGCATCAGGAAAAAAGTTTTGTCTCCCTGTGAAAATATGAATATTTGGCAAAAAAAAATTATTAGTTTTACGGGCTGAAATTTAGAATAATGCAACACTAAATGATAAATACTTAAAAATAAGATATCCCCCATTTATGGAAACTGATAGCCTATGTAATCGTTTTAGAAAATGAATTGAAGGTCAGTTGATTTAGATTATTTTTTTTTAGATAACAAAACTTGAGTGATGCAAACTACAAATAAAAGGAAAAAGTAATAAACATATGAAACTTACTTTAACCAGCTTCTTCTGTCCCAACTGTGGTCTGCCCTTGGCATCAACTGGATCAAGGATAACACAGTATTGACGGTTGTTCAGTGTCGTGATGTTAACAACACCTACCACCTAAAAAAAAAACAACAACAAATTTTGTAAATTAAATAGGGCAATATGTATATGTATATATTTTTAACTTAAATGATGAATATCGTTATGTCCTACGGCATTAACTGCCAACATTCTATGCTCATTTAATATCACTTGTCCTACAGCAATAATTGCTAACATTTCTATACTTATTTAATCTTTGTGCTACTGCAATAATTCTAACATTCTATACTTATTTAATATCACTTGTCATACGGCAATAATTCGTCCCCTTAGAATAACAAGGTGCTTAGTTGATTGGATTAAATAGGCACATAGAACCTTGTTATTCTAGGGGGACGAATTGCTAAACTTCTCTACATATTTAATATCACCTGTCCTATGGCAATAATTACTAACATTCTATACGTATTTAATATCACCTGTCCTATGGCAATAAGTGCTAACATTCTATACATATTTAATGTCACTTGTCCTATGGCAATAATTGCTTATTTACATGCTTTTTATTTGAGAGAGGTGTTGGGGGGTGCGTCAGTTGTTATATTTCTTATTCTAACCTCTTCATAAACATTGGGTATGTGTGTCTCAGTGTCTTTCATGGTGATCAGCCATTCCTCTCCATTCTTCCTCACAATGCCAAAGTCATCTTTGAATGTCCTCAAAGAGCGCACATGCAGAGCATTCTGTGTGGAGAGAGGTGAGAAGGTAAATTGCTTCCAAAGTCATTCATACCAACAACAAAAAAAACACCAAGTAGAAAATGTCTGTAAAAGTGTTATAAAAAAAAAAAAAAAAAAAAAAAAAAAAAAAAATTTTTAAAAAAAAAAAAAAAAAGGACACAAAAAAACAAAAAAAAACACAAATAAAGATCAAAAGAAAATAAAAACAAAAAAAAAAAAAAAAAAAAAAAAAAAATATCTAAAAAAGTATAAAAAAAAAAAAAAAAAAAAAAACGAATAAAACAATTTTTAAAAAAAGATATAAAAGGGTTCTCAAAAAACAGAATGAAACACAATTTGTAAAATAATATAAATTCAAGGCAATAGCCAATCTAATCTGATTATGCGCTACGCACCTTTTCCGTAAGGACATACGCATCCACAATGTTTACAACCTCCTCATAGGCGCCTGGCAGGTAGGCTCCAGTTTTTTTGACCAACCACTCTTCCCCTGTAACACGAGGATTGTTTTGCCTGTCAAGGCACTCTTTGCGAGCACGCAGCCGAATGGCTTGATTGGGTTTAATGATGGTGGCCTTCAGTGTCTCTTCAACAACAGTTTCCTTCCGAGGGATATATGTGCCTAGGTGGGGAGCAGTTAGACAATAGATGTACAAGCAAACCTTGTTCAACGTTCTCATAATCTGGCATTAAAACGCACTAGAATGTGGTTTAAATAAGATACACTTTGTAAACTTCTACACATTGCCTCATTTTTACCAATGTTAAAATTGTGAATTCATAAAGTACAATTAATTACATTGATAAAATCTAACAGATAAAAAAATTATTAAAAATCAAGTCTTTTCTCTGATAATGCGACATTCAGCAATGTTTAAAATAAAGTTCTAAATCAGCGTTTCCCGAATATAAAATTGGCAAAGAAATATTGACTATGAACCAGAGACTCGGGCCACATTTAATATATTTTCTTTATTTAACCATAAATATCCATATTGTGAGAAACCAGCAATGTAAAGCTCATGTACTGGTCCGTAGATCATCATTTGGGAAAAGCTGTTTTAGATCACAAAAAGTCATCAAATTCATCACCTAAAATACTCTTTTAAAATGAATGATTTGCAGCACTTAAGCACAAGCAATATAAATACTGAAGCATTATTTTAACAATTATAAATATGAGCAGGAAACACCAAAGCCCCCACAGAAAATGCCGTCAGCGTCCAATCTCGAGTTTAGATCAAGATCAATTAATTTTGTGCCACATGGGAGGAGACCCACACAGCCGTGTCAGGGTTATTAAAAGTCTGGAATGCAGCACAGCTAAATCTACTGAATCACTTACCTGGTGAGTAATCTGACGCACCGATTCTAGTTGGTGATTGCAAAATTTGATAACCTAGTGTTAGCAAAGGTATTGCAATCAACACACTTAAAGTTACAGTCATTACAGATGTAACTATATGCATTGTTGCCTGCATTGCACTGTCCCATATGGATTCAAAAGAACTGTCAGGATATTCAGTAATCCAGAGATAAAAAATGTACACAGCACAAGTACCAACACATAGAATCTTATACACTGTGATGTTGCTCAGTATTTCTTTCAAGAAATTTTCAATTTTGTTCTTCATTCTGCAAGCGGAAATATTGCATCTGTAAAGCTGAAATATTTTCTTGGTAAACAGGAGTCGTTGACAATTAGGTGTTAGCATTTTATCGCCCTGCCTACCTGGTCCCTCGAAGAGCCACTCATCACCAGCTGTTCTTTTAATATCACCCTCATCAAAGTCCAGGACAGCACGAATCCTCAAGGCTGCATTGGCCGGCACAACTTTTAATGCTGTTACAGGCTGACAACAAAAGAAAATGAAAGACTTAGCTATACAACACATAGAATATTAACTATGCAGCACATTCCATTATTAAATATATATTACTAACAATGGAACAAGAAATAAGTGTGCGATTTTTTCCTCTTAAATCATTCAGGAAACAGATAGTAAACATAATCAATAAAATGTTAGATTTAAATCATATTCAAGTTAAGCATTTACACTTTAACATTTTTGTTGAGAAAATTTTTTTTAAAGTTTATGAGAAAGTTTTTAATTTAAACATTTTTTTAAAAAGAAAAATGACAAATATTTCTCTAATTTAAATTTTTAAACTTAAATTTAGCTTAAATTTGTTTATTCTATGTGCAAAATAGATGTGTACTATTTTTACGGAATACACAGCCTTTTCTGATCAATTCTGTTGTAATTACTCTATAACTGTGCATCTTTGAACCAAACATACTCATTTCAGGGTTCAAAACTCTGTTAGGTTAGTTCTAAAGGCAAAAAATGTGATCACGTCACTCCACTCACTTCTTTGGCTTCCTTTACAACACACATTGATTACAAGCTGTCTGTTCTGTCACAACTTTTTCTCTCTGATTCCTGCCCTTCCTAACTAACTGAACTTTCTATTCACCACTTCGACAGCTTTGTTTCTCTGCAGACATGTGTATTCTTTCTGTTCCCATAACTTGCACTAAAACATATAGTGAATGATCTTTCTCCTACGCCTCCAAACAATGGAATTCTCTCCCATTAACATCCATAATGTAAATATACTGAATATCCAGGCCTTCAAAACTGCACTCAAGACAAATCTCTTCAAACTGTACTATCCTGACTGATTCTCACCCCCCATCCCCCACACCCAATTAAAACGATACTGCTGGGTGCTCTCTACGGCCAGACATGTAAATAGTTCTGGAGTGGAGAGGGGAATATTTCCATAAAGCTGTTTCTTAAATTAATAAATTTATGTAACTTTTTCATTGTCATATTTATTTTTCAAATTTTTATGTGAAGCGCAGTGAGCCCATCCCTAGGCTGGGGTACAGGGTTATATATGACCAATGTATTATGATTATAAATATTAAGTACAAATTATGACCCGCTATAGAAGAAATTTTGCACATGATTTTCTTATTGCATTCAAGGCTTTATTATTACCAGTTTGAGAACTTCTCCAGGGTATAGTGGAAATGGATCTTGAGTGAGTCTGATTTCTTGATCTGCATGCTGAAGCTTTATCTGACCAAGGTTGTCAATGATAATGTTCCCATCTTTGTCACGAGTCACTGGGTTCTCTATAACACAATAATGGCGTGGAGGCACTACAACCATTTTCTCTGGGCCTAGTGTAACCCTGTTATGCAGGAAAAAACATGATTGAAATAAATTTGGAAAAGCAAATAGAGGTCACATTAAATTTTTTTTGAATTGCCTCTTTTGAACAAGGGGGCATAAAATGAATTTATCACCACCATACACATGGGAAGCCTAAATTTAAGAAGACTGATTTTCTTCTGCCAAACTCATGAATACATATAAAATTACCAGAGTCATTGTCTAACTGCAAAAAATTACAAAGAAGCAATTTGTTTCTTGGTCCAAATTCAAAGACAAACCTTTCATTATCTTGTCTGATATAAGTTTGAGGACCAGTCTCAATCTTTGTAACATTTGTATTTTGATCCAAGACATGGATGTAGTAATAAGGTGGAATGCGAAAGATTGCATTATCTTCTTTTCCTTTCGCAGCCATTTTAAATATCTCAGCTTAAACAGTGGCAAATCTGAGGAAACAAAACGACATTACTCATCATACTATTTGAAACATTGGCCCATGGGCATTAGCAAGATGTACCATAAAATGATAAAATTGCAGCAAAGGCAGGGGGGGGGGGATGTCACAGATATATTGAGGAACCAAAGGTGGGATGTGTAAACAAATTAAAGCTTTAAACTTTGAATGTAGGGGGCTCAAATCCAACAAAGTGGCAGGGGTAGCCTCATGATGGTACGAGTAGGTTATGAGTTGGCCTGCTACTTGTAATAGATTGGACAACTAAGTATACCCTAAGCCTCCTAACAACAGTCTTCACAACTGGTTCACTAATCACTAATAAATATAATAAGTCTAGTATTATTAAGCCTACCACCTTGTTAGGCTGGTTGTCATTGATATTTTGTCCAGTTGTTCAAAATAAAAATACACTTTTAAAGACTCAAGACTGAACTAAAATTAAAACAAAAATGACTAAAAAAGCTAAGACTAAGACCAAACGTTTGTAACTTTGCCATGAACTGTGTCTAGTTAAGAACTTAGAACTACACAATCAGATACATAAACTTATAACTAAAATTTGGCAAGAAGAGAAAATCCCAAAAGAATGGGAAACAGCATTAATAACCCCAATACACAAGAAAGGCTCCAAACTTCAGTGCACAAACTACAGAGGAATCTCCCTATTAAATGTTATATACAAAATACTGACAAAGCCGTCGAAGCTTATTGCCAAAAGACTACAACCTTACACTGAAGAAATACTAGGTGATTACCAATGTGGATTCAGGCCTAACAGATCAACGACTGATTAGATTTTCACCATCCGATGCCTATGAGAGAAATGCTATGAATATAATATACAAGTACATCCATTCTATGTGGACTATAAAATGGCCTATCAAAGGAAAATATTTATATGAGACTCTGCAGGAGTTTGGGATACCCAACAAACTGACAAGACTATTATATGTAACACTAAACAACTCAAAAAGCAAAATCAAGATTCAAGGAGAATATTCAAGGGAATTTCATATTAGACGAGGCCTAAGATAAGGACACTCACTGTCTTGTATGCTCTTTAACCTAACATGAGAAAGTTATTAGAAACATACACATTGTGATTGACACTCGAGGAACGATAATAGGATACTTTCTGAGGGAAACTCAAGACCCACAACCAACCACTTCAGTATCTTGCATATGCTGATGACATAGCACTTCTAGGGAAAATTATTAAAGACATATCAAAATCCTTTATTGAATTAGAAGATGCATCTTTACAAGCTGGGCTGGAAGTTAACAACCAAAAATACATGACCATGATAAGAGAGGAACAAACAGATGAGACAAAATGAGAAACAAAACTTTTGAAAAAGTAAATCAATTCAAATACCTAGGATCCTTGTTAAATGAAAGAAACGATTTACTAACAGAAATAAAAGAAAGAATATCAGCAGGAAACAGGGCATACTTCAATAGTAAAAAAATACTCAAAAGCAAAAACATTACAAGAGAAACAAAGAAAACTATAAAACTGATCAGACCAGTTGTATCATATGCAAGTGAAGCTTGGACCCTAACAAAAACAGCAGAAAACCTGTTAAACACATGGGAGAGGAAAGTTCTCAGCAAAATATATGGGCCAATAAAGGATGACTATGGATGGAGAATACGAACCAACCAGGAATTATACAGTCTATATCAGGATCCCACGATAGTGGCAGAAATAAAAAGAGGCAGGCTACGCTGGGTAGGGCACCTAGAGAGAATGCCAAATGACAGAGGAACGCAGAGGGTGCATCACCAATACCTCAGAGGAAAAAGCCTCAAACGCAGACCTAGGTTTAGGTGGATAGATGATGTAGAAAAAGATCTTCAGCAGCTGAAAGTCCAAGCATGGAAAAGAAAGGCATTAGTTAGGTCTCTGAGTGGAAGGAAGTGGTGAGGCAGGCCAAAAGCCCTACATGGGCTGTAGCCCCACAGGGATGGATAGTTAAGACTAAGAACTTAAGACTTAAGTCTATTGTAGACTCTACACTTAATTTAATGTAAGTCTAAGAGTAAGAGTAAGAGACAAAGTTCTACACCACTTGGCTTCTCCTACCTAGTTTTCACTAGTCCTGCCTTGGATTTGGACTTCCATGCATTCCAAAAATAAATTTTAAATGGACCCAGACCTATGACCAATACCTCAGAGGAAAAGGCTCAAAGGCAGACCTAGGTTTAGGTGGATAGATGATGTAGAAAAAGATCTACAGCAGCTGAAAGTCCAAGCATGGAAAAGAAAGGCATTAGTTAGGTCTCTGAGTGGAAGGAAGTGGTGAGGCAGGCCAAAAGCCCTACATGGGCTGTAGCCCCACAGGGATGGATAGTTAAGACTAAGAACTTAAGACTTAAGTCTATTGTAGACTCTACACTTAATTTAATGTAAGTCTAAGAGTAAGAGTAAGAGACAAAGTTCTACACCACTTGGCTTCTCCTACCTAGTTTTCACTAGTCCTGCCTTGGATTTGGACTTCCATGCATTCCAAAAATAAATTTTAAATGGACCCAGACCTAAGTAATGCGTGCACTGAACTGGACTTGGACATTGCAATGACCTCAAACTAACATGGTTAACCCGTTCTTTTTTAAATCTTTTAATTTGATTGAATTACCTTCCAGTGTTGACTTGCAACAATCAATCAACGCTTATACTTGTTTAATAAGTCCAATAAAAATATTCCGTATTAGTGTCTAATTAGTTATAGTAGTAGTATTACTATTTTATTATTTTTATTAGAAGGAAGTAGCCTAAATACTACTAATAAAAGTATAGAATGATTGCAGGTGAATGTGCGACTTTATTAAATAAATTTAAAGGCTTTCTCCTAATTGAAATGAATTTCTCAAATAAAAATTCAAGGTTAACCCACCGAATCAATGTTGTTGCAAGACAATGAATCTGATCACGCCGAGTTAGCCGAGTACTAAAAAGACAAACTGCAGCTGGTCTGGGAAGATTGTTTTACTATTTATAGTAACTTAGTTAACAAGGATAACTAAGCTACCAAAAGTAGAACGCATGATTGGCAGGAAAGTTTTATAAGGACCCTTTGACTACATCCTCTTCCCTCAAAATTTATTTATATATATATTTTTAAGATTTTATAATTATAATGTGTCAAGAAATGAGACTCAAAACGAATAGTGTGTGAGATTGGACAACAAAGTGATAATGAGAATGATAAAAATAGGCCTATTTTAAGTATGTATCCCAGTTGCCGGTAATCACCGCAACCGTTAACCGTAGACCAGGATGTGTAATTGTAGGTAAAACCAACTGCCAACTGAATTAAAATCTGTGTGTGGTAATGCAAAGTAAAATATAATTGGTCAACTTGGTATTGCATTTATTAATAAACAATAAAATTTAGCCCTATTCGTTAGTAGGCCAAATTATTCTTGCTATATTATAATTATTTATGAAAACTTAAAAACAAAACATATGGACAATAGTTTAATTTAACAACAGTTAAACTTTAGCGACATTCCATGAAATTCGCAGAAAATATGATTGTTATTGGATGACCTTTGATTGCAATCTCAAATTTTATGGTATTTGATTGTGTTCAAAGAATATAAATCTTAAGCTGAGTTTACCAATTAAGTGTTGGGCCAAGCAAAACTAGAAAGAAAAAAAAAGCGCTCTTTGATATTTCGTAACAAAAACATTACGTTTTGAATAAAACATGAATTAATTAAAAATTAATTTGCGCATCTTAAAACAGCAGGGACGTTATTTTGGGTAGGGCTGGGCGGGAAATCCACCCCCCCCCCTGGATTTGCAGGTTTTATTTAAATTACTACGTGCTGTGGCGCCTCCATTAATAAACAACTAATAAGGCGACCAAGTTTTGTTTTTCCCCCCCCCCCCCCTCCCCGCCCTTTTTTTTTTTAGATTTAAAAAAAAAACGAAATGACGCCCCTTACATCTTAGACCAGCGGTTCTCAACCTGTGGGTCGCGACCCCTTTGTAGGTCAAACGACCCTTTCACAGGGGTCGCGTAAGACCATCTGAAGACAGATATACTCCACAGTTATAAAACATTTAAAGAAAATAATTTTGTGATTGGGGGGTCGCCACAACATGAGGAAATGTATAAAAAGGGCGCGGCATTAGAAAGGTTGAGAACCACTGTCTGAGACGCTTAAAAGTCATTAAAAAATACAAATATGACTTGTTTCGATTCTATTGGTGGGCATGTACCGGCTGTACGTTTGGCGCTGTTGACTAATTAAAAAACTGACGCCGAGAGTTCTTCCTGCTACTGTAGTTATTATTTGCTAGTCAAGATCCAATCACACGGATAGGATTCATTTGCTGCTTTGTTACGTCACTAGGAGCTGGATATCATTTAATGACACTATCCCTAAAAAAAAAAATAAATAAATAAAAAAATTATGATCGTATTCAGTTGCGTCATCAGGAATGCGGCTGTGCGGCTGTGCAGAATATAAAGTGACAACATCCCACGGGGTTTACACCAAAAATGGAACTTTTGAAATTCAACAGCTTTCACTCAATTCGTTTTCATAATCATTCATAATTTATTACGAGAGCATGGTGCTACCGAAGCATGGTGCCACAGAAGCATGGTGTTACCAGAGCAGGGTGCCACCGGAACATGGTGCTACCAAAGCATGGTGCCACCGAAGCATGGTGCCGTCAAAGCATGGTGCCACCGGAGCATGGTGCCGTCAAAGCATGGTGCCACCGGAGCATGGTGCTACCAAAGCATGGTGCCACCGGAGCATGGTGCTACCAAAGCATGGTGCCACCGGAGCATGGTGCCGTCAAAGCATGGTGCCACCGGAGCATGGTGCTACCAAAGCATGGTGCCACCGGAGCATGGTGCCACTGAGACATGGTGCCATTGGAACATGGTGCCACCGAAGCATGGTGCCAACGAAGCATGGTGTCACCGAAGCATGGTGCCACCGAAGCATGGTGCCACTGGAGCATGGTGCCACCAAAGCATGGTTCCACCGAAGCATGGTGCCACCGAAGCATGGTGCCACTGAAGCATGGTTCCACCGAAGCATGGTGCCACCGAAGCATGGTGCCACCGAAGCATGGTGCCACTGGAGCATGGTGCCACCGAAGCATGGTGCCACCGGAGCAGGGTGCCACCGGTGCAGGGTGACACTGGAAGAAGACTCAGATGAGGTCATTGGGAAGTCTGTGTGGGAGGGGGGGGCAACATGAGTTAACCGCACTAGGTGACAGCAACCCTACTGACGCTACTGACCACACACACTTGTCCAAATGTTCTGACCACGGCAATTTGAACACATTGATTTGTCATCGTCTAATCTCATTGACTTAATCTAATGACGTATCTGTTCATTCGCAAGTTTGAGGCTTTGAGCTGAACCTGAGATTTCGTTCATATATCCCAAGGAATGAACTATTGTTGCATACTTAATACTATGTACCTCAACAAACGCTTCTCATCAGCAGCAACGCTAGACTGGCTACATTGACTATACTGATTAGACTGGATATACTGATTATACTGATTAGACTGGATATACTGATTATACTGATTATACTGATTATGCTGATTAGACTGGATATACTGATATACTGATTAGACTGATTATACTGATTAGACTGGATATACTGATTATACTGATTAGACTGGATATACTGATTATACTGATTAGACTGGATATACTGATTATACTGATTAGACTGGATATTATCGGGAGTTCACCCTGGGCGGCATTTAATCAAGGTTCGCCAAAGTTTCTAAGACCCGCCCCCCCCCCCAGGTCTTTTAGTGACCCCGCAACAAAGGATGCGCATATGATTACTTTTACGTTGACGTGACCTCGAATGTATGTCATAATGACATGATTAACATGATCCATTACGAGCCATTATTAGACATAGTCATACAATAAGTAGAGATGTGAATCTAACTCTGTTAGAAATTCTGGTCGGGTTCGGTCGTCAGCAGGGTTCGTCTGCTTCGGGTTCGGTAATAACTAGACTATTGGTTGACCAAAATATAATGAAACACGTGTTAATGGAGATTGGGGGGGGGGGTTAGGACGACGACAGTTGAGCTGGGGGAAAGATTGCACGCTTTTTGGGCAGCGACTGACAAAAGAAATATCCCGACCTCGTCAATGCAAATATCAAACTGGACAATGAATGGCTCTCCACGTGAGTTCACGGGTGTTCACTTTTTCTTGTCTTTTCTTTCTAGGGAAGTTTATAAAAAAAAAAAAATTAAAAAATTCGGGTGTCAATTAATATTGTGCTTATTTCGATAGAATATGAATCTATTCTAAATTGCGTTTTGTTTAATTTAAATTTGGCCCTTGCTCTTAAGAAGGCAAATTTTTAGTAGTTTAAAGAGAAGGATACTGTTTAATATTGGAGACAGTTGTGATATTGTTTTTGAAAAGATGTTGAAATTTTGTGATAAGGATGATAAAGTGTTTGTTTTGACACCACTTTACTTGAATGAAAAGTGGGGAGGGGGGGTAGGGGGGGGAGGGGGGCAATGTTATGAATTGGATTTGTGCACGTGATTGTTTGTGTAAGGGCAGTTGTTGGTCGTGAGTTGGTGACAGGTTGGGGAGGGCGAGTTGTGGTTGGTCGGGCTATGCAAGGTCAGCTCGTGGAGTTTGGGGGACAGTCAGTATGTTGGGATAGTCAGTATGTTAAGATAGTCAGTATGTTTTGGAAGTTATCGTTGTAGTGGGAAAAGGTGCAAGTCCTCTCTAGTCAGTGTAAAGAAGATTTGTATAGGGGACGGGCAGTGAACGGGTAGTTCCTGTGATAGGATCATGTAAATAAAGAACTGTCATAATGCAACGCTGCTGTTCTTAAGTGTGGACCAAGTGCGGCTGTGTTGCTGACTCTTAGTGTCTGGCGTGCGTGACTCTTAGTGCAGAGTGTGACTGTGTTGCTGACTCTTAGTGTCTGGCGTGCGTGACTCTTGCTGCAGAGTGTGACTGTGTTGCTGAGTCTAGTGTCTGGTGTGTGAGACTCCTGCTGCAGAGTGTGACTGTGTTGCTGACTCTTAGTGTCTGGTGTGCGTAGTGTGGCAGTGTTATTATGAACCTAAAGGACGTTGCCAGTGATAAGACAGAAGATAATAACATTCCATACACTGAGCTTCATCTAAAGACAAAAAGGTCGTAACTCCGCCTCTGACTACGGCTCTCAGAATAGTGTCTTAGCAGTTATAATTTATATAGATGGGTAATCCCTCAAAATTGTTCTCAAATCCCTGTATTAAATCTTATGGCGCAGTGACCGAACGTGTTCTTACGCTCAAACCAATAGCCAATCGCATCGAAGAAGCGCTAGGCCATGCCCTGATTGACTTTAAAAAGAAAAAAAAAAATAAGTGTGGCTCTGACATAACCATCCTGCAAGTGGAATCTTATGAAGAACATCTCAAAACTCATCGGTATTTTTACATTTATTTTCATCAATTTTGTTTGCTTTTTATTTGTGTGTGTGTGTGTTGGGGGGGGGGGGGGGGGGGGGGAATTTTTTTTTTTTTTTTTTTTTTTTTTTTTTTTTTTGTGTGTGGAAGGGGCGGCAAACATTTTCTCCGTCTGTGGTGGCACTAAACCTAGTTACACCACTTCAGTGCTATTGTCCATCCCCAAATAGAACATTTTCTATGATGGGTGATTAATCTCTACGAAACCAAAGATTGGTCGATATTTGAAGTGCTGAATGTCATAGCAGAATGAGACTTCCCAGAATAGTGTTTCTCAAACTGGAGCAACGGTCCTCTAGTGGGTCGCGAAGGTTTTTTTTTTTTTTGGGGGGGGGCGGGGGGGCGTGAATGGGTCACTTAGATACAAATTTTGGGCTATTTGCGATTGTTGCCAATGGTTGTTATGTCCCATGGAGGAATCCAATTTAGTTCCCATTTAATTTATTCATGACACAGGAATGTCTTCACAGAGCATTAAGGCTTGCGTCTAAAAGCCTCGTATGATCACAGCATCGCAGAACAGTTGATATTACTTTGCTGCAAAGATATCA